TTATCAAGTTGTTTAATAAAAAACATCTTTCTTTTTTTTTTTTTACCAATGGTCACTCAAAATTAATTCTCAAAAACGTTTATTAACAGTAATACATGTACAGTATAGGATGAAATAAAGTCGAATAATTTATCGAATATATTAACTTAAAGTTTATTTTCAAAATCAATAATACCACCCCAAATGTTCTTCAAATTGCTAAAAAAGTATAATTAAAATTTAAAGAATGCCATGATATCGCTTCTCTTTATATGCACTGTAATCCGGTGTTCACAATTAGCCCGTGCAGTTGCAGATACATGTAACTATGTGTTTATTTATCTGCGAGATTATATCATTTGGTTTCATTTAGAAAAGTACCGTTACTTCTGTATACATGTCTGTTATAAATAATAGCATGAAAAACGATGATAGATAGTGATACATAATTACAATTAAATTTTAACAAAACACGCCCAAGTGTAGGAATACCGTTGCTCCATTATTATGCGCTGCACTGTAAGACTATGAACTAAATATCGACGATTTTTTTTTTTTGGGGGGGGGGGGTTATTGTTAATAAAATAATCACAGGTATTTATATTCAGAATATCAATAATATAGCTAGTATTTGAATGTATTTCTATTTTCTGCTCTTTTCGAAAATTACTAAAATCATGTTTATGAACATAAACAAATTTCAGATTTCTCCGGTTCAAATAAAACACAAACACAAATATGGGCCCTTAAAATATTTGAACACACAACACAGAAATTAACTTATTTTAATCAGCAAGTTGCCATGCCTAAAGTTTTCAGATGTCTGTCTAACCGTTCGGTTTTCCTCAGGTAAGTTTGGTGTGGAGTGGAGCTTACTCGAAGCGGATGAGAAGCCCCGAGGGAACGACGCTGTCTAGTGTACATACTACCTATATACACAGGATGTTACCTGAGTGTATTACCTGTATGCGTTTTCCTACGACATTGTAAAACGAAGCCGTTTTTTTTTCATGTGTAGCTCATGAATTGAAATGCATGAAATAAAGAAAGTTTTTGTTGCAGACAGAATCCTTTTTAAATTTTTTGTTTCAAATAAATATTTTTAATAATTCGACAATTTTAATATATTGTGTTTTTCTTAATCAAATTTTATAACAAAAATACATTTTATTTTACCACCAAAATCTGTCGTTGTAATCTGGCGACAAAAAGGGAAGTAATTCAAATTACATGTCATGTACATATGCTAAACGAAAGAAGAAAGTGGATCATAAACAAGTCTCTCGATAAATAACAATAAAACTTAGACAAATTCGACAAATGGTCAATAAACTGATAAATCAGCGTTAGTTTTATTCGCTAGACTTAAGAAACTGATCAAAAAGGAGGAAAAACGATCATGCACGTGCCTTAATATTGTGATATTTTTCTTCTCTCTATCTCCTCTCTCTCTATCTCTCTCTCTCTCTCTCTTTCAATCTTCTAACTGGTACAGATATAAACAGACACGAAATAACATAGTAATGGATCATTATTTGATTTAATTAATATCAAATACTTCATTAATTTGTTTTAAAAGTTTTTTTTTTTACTTTTATTCTTTTTATACACTCCGTTTAAAAAAAAGCAACAATAATTTGACACAAATTCCAAGGCTAATATCGCATCTGAAAATGATATCGATGAAATAATAATGAAACAATGAATCAAATGTGTTGTTGAATGGCTAGACAACGATGAGGACATCCAGCGAGCGTTACCCAAGGTACTCTAAGACAGGTGTGAAACCCCCAAGGCATGTCGTTTCCTGCTCTGGCACTGCTAATCCCTATACACAGGAAATGATCGCGGCTAATACTTAATACACAAAGAAACAGAATTTGTCAAAGAAAACACAAATATATGAATTTTTGCATTGAATATTTATTCATATAAACTATAATTTCGTCTGTGAAGTTTATCATTACATCTGCACATCCTATCTTATCTATTGAACACGAAAATCGAGAAATATTAAAATTAACAAGAATAGATATGGGTTACCCCATATCCAAAGATATTCGACTGTTAGATTTAATATGTTTAACAGTGTTTATAACAGTCCAGTCCAATACGAAAATTCGTAATATTACAAGTTTTCGTAATATAAAACTTATATTACGATTTTTCGTAATGTAGTTTAATTACGAATACGCGTAATATAGCAGATTGTAAGAAGCTATATTACGAGTTTTCGTAATCCAAGACAAATTCAAGCATTGCAAAAAATTGAGTGGTGGGTAGCAAAGTATGACGTCAGTAATATATCAGATTCCACGGCTACTAATAGCACGCGGTCAGATTGGTCAGTTACGCCTATCAGAAAGCATGGAAATTCAAGAAGAAAGTACCGCTAGCGATGGGTGAGTGGACAATTTCTTTTATTATTCTTTTATAAGAATTTTCCCAAGGATAAGACCAATTTTCCAGTAAATTTCACTATTCGCTTAAGCATGTCACATTGGTCTATATCACCCGAACTCCCTACTTTTCTTCCGAAGTCTACCCTAAAAATCACACCCTCGTCTCATAATTCAACTGTTTGTGCAATTCTTATTGAAATACACAGAATTAAAAAATCTCAGTAAGCGTCGTACAAGTTATCGCCCTTGACATCTCGTATTAAACGTCATACTTTGCTACCAGCCACTCAATTGCTTGCAATGCTTGAATTTGTCTTGGATTACGAAAAATCGTAATATAGTCTCTTACATCTGCTATATTACGTGTATTCGTAATTTAACTATATTACGAAAAATCGTAATATTAAGTTTTATATTACGATTACTTGTAATATTACGCTTTCTCGTAATCTTACGTTTTTTCGTAATATTACGAATTTTCGTATTGGACTGGACTGTATAATGACGTTAATAAAAAAAAACTGCACTGTCTAATTATGGAACTGTTGTAAATATCGTGATTCCATAGCATTACGGTCACCCAGTCTCCTAACAAACAGTACACATAGGCCTACATGTACCTGTAGCCTTGGTCTACACACGTGCAATGGAGCTGTCACACGCATCCAGCGAGCTCGGAGAAACACGTTTTGTTTTGCCGAGAAGTTACGGTGTCAGACAAAACTTTCTTTTCTTAATTAGATCATATAAATACGAATTCTGATTAATAAAAATTATACAATCCCTGTTGAACTTTATATAGTTTGTTCTAACATTTGCATCTGCAACAACTTGTGTTTAAAATGGCCGGGTTGGGAAAATCAGGACCGGGTCGGAAAATTCTAAACTGAAAACATGGAAAACCTTTTTTGTTTTGAAAATAACTGAAATATACTAATATATTTGTCGCAGAAATTACTTACATTATTCAAGTTCTATATATAATGGTATGCTGAACTTCAACACGAACCCGAATCTCCAACCCATGCAGTTCTCGTTTTGCCACACATACCCTACAGTTTACAAAGTGTACACACGAGCAGGCCAGGGATTGAAAATTCCGTCATTTAATAATACACACACACAGAATGATTAATTTTTTCTTTAAGAACAAATTGTATGATAATTAACGGACTATAAACATGTACTTAATACAATTGTTGATATAGTATTATCAATTCATTGGTGAAAAGATATGAATCGAAGAATGACCTAATTATTCTCTGTTATCAAACACGTAAAAAAAAAGGCTGAGGAGGGAGCGAGCGTAGGAATATTGATATTTTTTATTTGCATTTCGGGGGGAAAGTGACTTTCTAATGATATTTTGACGTTATTTTTGATTTCTTTAACGTATGACATACACAACTTTACTCTTATCATGAACAATAATGTTGTATCTACTTATCATGATGGAATTATTTTGGTCGGACCAATATGTGTGAGCTGCCGCTGAATACAGTTATATATCTTGCAAAGATAGTATGCATTGATCGAATATATAGAAAAGAAAGACATTGTATTAAAAAGTAAAACATGTTAATGTGAAGGTGAAAAACGATATTTTTTTTGATCTCTTGTATAAAGTTCACGTGCTCAAAGTTAACTCTCGTCATCGAATGCTTCCCGGTCATTTGACAATTTGATAAAAATGCCTGCACATTTATATAAAAGACGGAAATACATTAAAGAAAATTAATTAATTAAATTAACTTAATTTGGGAACAGAACATAAACAATGAGAAATAAAGAAGAATAGAACTTTTTCTTGATATCTTGGGTAAAGAAAATTTAAGTTCACGTGCCCACTACATGTAACTGCAAATGCTCGTCATCGGATGTTTTCCGGTAATTTGACACTTTAAGAAAAAGCCTGTTCATTTTATATACAATAAATCGAAATTAATTAATAAACAATATGAAGATGTACATTTTTTAAAAGATGTACATCTTTTTTTTTCATATGAATGCTGAAAATCGTTCATCGAAACTTAAACAGTCTGAGTTCAACATTTATTACACTTTGCATATAATATGTAGATTAAAAAAAAAACTAATTAAAATTTCTAGTATTTAATTTTGTTTCTTGATAGATTCTTAATAACACAAAATAATTAACAAATTGCAATGACGTAACAATTTAATAAAATTTTCTATTCAATTTCAAAGATTGATATGTAATTTTAGAAACAAAAATAAACTTATTTTTTCTTAGTTTAAATTCTATTCATAGCAAAATTTATTAATAAACACACGGGTTTTTTTGTTTGTTTGTTTGTTTGTTTGTTTTTTTTTTTTTTGTTTGTTTGTTTGTTTGTTTGTTTTTTTTTTTTGGTTACAGGGAAAATTCGCAAATTACAATTTGGGGAGATAACTCCCGTTTGTTTACGATACTAATTGTCAGTAATCGATGGATGATTTAACCGCGGCGGGGACAGGTAGGTGATGAAATTCCCGCGGAGGGAACGCGGTTTACCTGTCTACCTGGCCAAATACCGCGTTGTGATTATACCGCGGCGGGGACGCGGGAAATACGGGATCCGTGTTGCCTGTACTGTATAAACTGATTAAAAAACTTACCAATTTCTCAAGTCTTGCAAACCGTAATGTTAGATTTCAAGTGATTGTGAAGAGTACGATTTTTGTACTCTTATTTATATTACAGAGCGATAGGTTTAAAACCAGTACAGTCACCCTTCCATTGCGATTGATGTATAACTTAGGGATAACTTGCAGTGGCGTGACTGCCATTACGCACTTAAGGCACGTGCCTACACTATTTTATTTTTTTAGAAAACAAAACCGTAAAAAAGGAAAGAAAATGAATGGCTAAATATCATTTTCACCATTGATAGAGAGGTCATGATCGAATGTATAAATAACCACTAATATGTGCAAAGTAATAATAACCTACAATACTTAACGGGTTGTTTCATCATTTTCAAGTGGTTCAAAAATTTCAATTAATCCGATATAATGGAATGGAAATTAATCCGATATAATGGAATGGAAAATTAAAACATTCTCTCAAAAATGGCTTAATTATAAAAAATAATTTATATAAAACACCCATTTTAGTTGATTATGATAGATCATATCATAAGAAATTCAATACGCAAGAGCATGCTCTTTGTCTGAACAATTTCTAAAACGAGATAAGTTTTTAACAAACAAGTTGATGAAATAAGAATATCAGCAGTGTCGTTTAAAGTCATCATAATTTCATAAGTCAAACATAATTTTCGGCCACATAGTCAAAAAAATTTCATATATTATTTTCTTATGCGTCTCTTTTTCCTTTCAGTATATTAAAGAAGTATGAAGATAAGAATCAAAGGAAGTGCACTTAAGATCAAATCGCTTACTATTAAAATAATTATATATTTACTAGTTTTCATAATATATAAACAACGCATAAAATATGCCAAAATTTAGAAATTCAAATTATTTATATGCACCACCTATTTTTTTTTTTTACAGTTAAGCAAAATTATATTTCAAAACTTGAAGAAGTCTACTGCATCAACCTACAAGTCCACTTAAGTCTACTTAATGTAGAATATTTCTGTCATGCAGACAAAAGGGCTTTTGTTGAGCAAAGGGCAATCTACACTGCTCCCTCTTTCTCCATAGGGTTAAGTGAATATGGAGGACGTCAGTAATACACACATGTTAATATTGAGATTACTGGGTGAATATTAGGATCATTGAGGTAAATATTCAGAACTGATTTCACTTTTAGAGGACATATGCAAGCATTCAGTGCATGGGGAAAGGCCATTACAGAACGAAAAAACGGTTTCTTTAAAAAAAGGTACCCGGTATGTAATTCTCTCTTTAGCCTGCATCTTCTGCGACACGGGACCTCTATTTCTACGGTCTCACCCGAAGGACCGGTATTCACGTTCCAAGACGTAACCCGTGACATAAAGGTTATTTCTTTACTCAGCAATTATAGAGCAATCGCTTTACCACTGCGCCACGTCTGCGACTGAAACCCAAGTTAAAATTAAAGTATTCCTCCTTAAATTGAATTTCAGAGAGGCCAGAAAATAAGCTATCACGAATTTCAACTTTGTAGGGAACAAAATTATAGATAGTGCTTATTCAAAAGCATGCATATTAGTATTTGTACACTTTTAAAACATATGTAATGTCATACAGCTTAGTTCAGTAAAACATGTATAATTGGCTGGTAAATAATTCTCATATGAATTTTCTTATGTAGGCAGTAATAAACATGTATTTCCTAAAACCGCCAGTAAATACTAGTATATTATTTATTTTAAATGTTTAGATTATTGAATGGTGTAGGAAATACATGAAATTCGATTCTGATTACACATATATACAGAAATATTTTAATCATTCAGTATACATGTATATTAAGTGTAGAAGAAAGAAGATTGAAAGTCGACATACAAGCATAAAAAAATTAAAAGATTATAAAGAAAATTTTATATAATATTATACAGTTTATTTATAACCTTTTAAATTTTTATATTCTTGTATCGTCGACGTCCAATCTTCTTTTTTCTATAGATTTTACGTACTGAAATATTTAAATTTTAAAACACTAATTTACTGTGAACAGTAACTTTTATTGTCTGTTACATCACACAATTTTGTTTTACTTAACTTAATCTGACGTGATAACACTGTTTATGTATTCTAATGAAACATATCTACAACCAAAACTACATCATCTAGCAACACAAGAAGAAAAATACATGTAATGATTTATTATGTACATCTTTCTAATTATTCAGACAGATATATATATGTACCCTAAGGCCTAAGTTAAAATTCCTAATTCCATCCTTCGATTTTATAATCGGAAGGGAGTTCTATTCAGTGTTCCAAATCCTCTAATATTATGCTCTGGAGTGGCTTTCACATTATCTGGGAGATGAATTTCAAATCGCCGCAGTAGGTTTGCACACATCAGCAAGTTAAGAGTTCCAGTTAAGCGACTGTTTCACCATTAGACAAACGCGTGGGCCAGTTGAAATAGGGCGCCAACTTTCTGGTTTTATGCCTAGGTCACATTTCCCGGCCGGTAGCCGTAGACCGGTGGTAATCGTTGGTAATCCGTGGTGTTAGCGATGCCCCAACATCGGTACACATCGGCCTAGTAGTCCTTAAAGTATCAGTCACATTATCTAGCGATGGATATACGATGGGCAACCAATGCGTTTTATGATAAAAATGGAGTGGTTGCCGGCCGGACTTACAAAGGCCCAGCGATGCATTGCTAATCATAAAACGATGTTCCAGGATAATCGGCCGATGTATATTACATCGCTCATACATTGGTGAACATCGTTCGTACATCGGTCGACTACGGGCCAATGTTTGGACGAAAATCGACCGGTGATCGGCAGTTATCTGTTGAACACCACTCAACCCCCCGATGACCTCTGATTCAACGGATATTGGACGTTGCTCGGCCATACATCGGCCGATCCTTGAAAGATGTGTTAATGATGGGTTACCGATGAGGAGCGATGTGAGGCATCGTTGGAGACATCGCTGAATTTTAACTACGAATTATTTCCTACCGATGACCCCACCGATTCGCAAAATGGCCTCAGTCACCGTCCGATCACTAGTGGTGTCCGGCCGGCATTCATGCCATTTTCATCAAAAAACTCATCGGTTTCTCATCGTTTACCCCATCGCTGGATAATGTGACTTATACTTTACTGGCTTCAGTTTTCCTTCTTTATCAAGATAACGATTGGGATCAAATTTCAATGAGTCTTTCCAGTATTTTGGATCATAATGCAGAGACCAAATGTTAATAACAACTGTGGTTCCTTTGGGAATGTCGTATCTTCCTGTTGAATAGTACTTCATGTAGACAGTTTATAGAAGAGAGAGATTATATTTTTAAGGTAAATATATATAACATTTCCTAATTTTGAATTATCTTAAATTCTTTTCATTTTTGAGACAGAGATAAATTAATAAAAACAGGATCATCGTCATATTTGACGATATTTGACATTTTTAAAAGCTGATCTTGTGTTCATTGCAAAGACAGCCGAATGTTGTTCAATCAAATGATGATTTTGCTTTGGAAGTCGATTAGACAAAAGTGAAACCGACTTGTGTATCACAAAGAATTTTATGTGGCACACCCAGCCCTCCGATATTTCAGAGCCTTAAAGTTTCAAACAAGCCTATGTATTGTCCAAGCTGCTTCATTGATGGATGTCCAGTACCAGTGAAGATTCGAAGGATAACAATATACAAACCAGTCAATTGTAAATCTAGGAGTATCAACTCCGGGTGTGGAAGTAAGTACAAAAGTTGAATTATCTTATTTGTTATAAAGCTGAAAAGACCTCCGAATTTAAATGAATGGGTTTATTAATCTTTGATATTTCGTAATTTTTCAATTCGTTAGATAAAAAAAGTTGAAGAAATGTTGTTTTCTACAAAAATTATATCATGAACAAAAAATAATACAAATAAAATTATTTTTTTTTTCATGCATTTTTAATTAACAAATATTTAAAAGACTTCGGATGAGACCGTAAAAACTGAGGACCCGTGGTGCTGGACCGAATAAAAAATCACTAACTGTTCTATGGTCCTGAGTGCCTAGTATAAGACAAAACTTGCAGTTCTCTACTGGCAAACATTGGCGTCTCATATGAGTGAAAATTTCTCGAGAGAAAGGTTAAGCAACGTACAAACAAGCAAACATAAAAGACCGTTCAAGATGAAAATTTAACACTCGAGAGACTTCTATCTACTTGTTGGAAATAGAAGAATAAATAAAGTTTCTTCCTTTCTGTACAGTGACTCTGAATTTTCTGTATTATGCTTCTTTTGTTAAATATTAAGGATAAAGTTACAATTTGTGAAAGTGTAAGAATCTGTAAATAAAACGCATCTACACTGTAAAAATTGCGTTTAGGATTTAAACACTTCCATGACATGTTTAGATCTAAACATGTATAGAAATATGTTTAACAACTAAACACTTATGTCTAAACATGTTTTATAACTAAACGTGTTTAGATATTAAACACGTTCTGCTGTAATATGCAGAGTTATCTTCCCGGAAATGACACAAATATTCGTACATTTGAACGTTAATTTGAGCGGCCATCGAAACAAAGCAAATCACAAAAAAGCTTATGTGACGTATCAAGGAGAGCTACTGACAACCTAAAGGATAATCATGAAGAAGTATTGAAAATCCTTTGAAAGGCATCTTTTTACTGCAATATATTAAAGGTATGTTTTCTTTTTCTAAAGATTTACATTTTTAAACCACGATGAGCAATGTAAACAGTGACTTGTGGGTCGTTTATAGACTTGTAGGAGAGGAGTTTACATTGAATTTCATTAAAAATAACCATTTTAATATCAGAATAGTTTTAATACAACTTGAAAAATTGATGTCGACTTCAGTTGGCAGCGTACGGTACTTTCACTTAAATCTGACTTTCTTTTCTACAGGTTCTGTGAGTAGTCCACATCGAACTCAAAGCATGTTTCAAGTACCCGGCGCCATCTTCCAAGTGCAAATTGTTATTCCATGGTCAACACTAAGAAACATATTCTTATGAAGTGTATTGGATTACCCCTAATTCGGCAATGTTCGACAGTTTTGAATATGTGTACCTTAAATTATCCTTGTGCATTTGAAATGGATTACTTTTCGGGAGTTACTTATGGGATATTATATCATGTGGTGCTATGTAGTGCTTTAGGACGGTTGAAAGTTAATCAAGTTTGATATTTGGTGACTGACATATGGAAACCGATTGAAACTGTAATTATTCATAAATTTATATAAAAAATAAACATTTTGTAATTTTAATTTGAATATCTTTAATAAAGCATTTAAAAAAGATTCAGGGAATTTTTTATCTAAAGTTGCCAGCTTATTTTTTTTGTAATAAAATACTGTGTATAATTTTGAAGATGCATAGTTTGTTGCCTAGTCTGCTTTATATAAATATAATATATCTTATGCTGATTATTTAACTTATAGAGATCATATTAAATTTGTGTAAATAAGTACATCACACAATTGTAAAGTATCTGCATATCAAAATGTTAAGAGGCCTTATGATAAATAATTTATATCGATTAATATTTTGAAAATTTTGACAATGATATTACATGTATATATGTATAAGTATGCTGTTTGTGCCAACATTTACAAATGTTTTTCTCCAGGTACACTTGTTTTAATGTGTTAAATCTAGATGTGTTTATTTTTTAAGCACATAATTAAGAAATGTGTTTAAAATTCATACGCTTTTCTAAACACTTTTTTGTCACCTTCTTTTTTATATGTTTAATTCCTAAACATGTAAAATTTCTAAACATGTATGAGAAAGTGTTTAGAATCTAAACACGTATGTGCTTCGATTCTAAACACTTTCTCAAACGTGTTTAGAAATTGAACATGTTTAGGAATTAAACACATAAAAAAGAAGGTGACAAAAAAGTGTTTAGAAAAGTGTTTGGATTCTAAACACATTTCTTACAGTGTAGAAAGTTTACATAACTTCCACAAAAATAAGACTTTTATTTTCTTATTTAATGCTTTAGAAACATATAAGTAATGAAATCAATTAGAAAATTTGAGAAATATTAACATTAAATCTGTGTCTAAGCACCTTTAATAGTTAAACCTTAAAAAATGCATGTGAATTATGTGCCTTTATAATTCAATTATAAAAAATAATCAGTTTCGCAGTTTTTTACTCTTTCTTTGTTTGATAATGAATCTGTCTACACCTATTACTGGTTTGTCTATTTTGACTACGCGAGCAGAGTTATATATATCTAGCTAAGATGTTGTTGATGTTACTACCTAGTGAAACATTTCTAGGAGATTCTTCCTGTCGAATTTAAAGGTCATCGGTTTTTGTCTGCATGGACGGATTTCTTTTGTTTCTTGTTTCAATCTTGTTACACAACTCCAAAAGAACAATGCATGGGAGACATTAAATGTAAAAGAAATTGTTTTGTTCTCAAACTGTCTGCACCGTTGTAATACAGACTCTACAAGACTTCGCTCTATTCAAGTCCACAAAGCTTTTTACCCAAAGCCATGAAAAGAAGAAAGTATGGTTTTAGCTTTTTTGCGCCCTAAAAATGTAATGACATCAGAAAGTTTTGAAACTGGCTTAAATATTAGTTAAATAAATGACTCTGATAAATCAGGAAAGAATGTGTCAATAAGGTTTACCATTCTGCAAATATGACGTCATTAATGTGAAGCATTTCTCTATTTTCAACAGAAAAAGCCTCAAAATGGCACATTTCAAGGGTGATTTTCCTTTAGAAAACAGTGTCCACAGCCGTCGCCCACGTTAATTTTTTGATATTTTGTGCAAAATTCAATAACAAATCACATATCTCAAGATCTTTGTGGGCGATGCCTGTGGAAAATTCCATTGAAAATAGGTTCTTCTGCAACATTTTAAGAAAATACGGGAAAATGCACATGTTTATTACGTCATAATTAGCATTTAAAAACACATGTGAGAAAAATGACTTGTATGATTTTTCTGCATTGAATTTCAATTATTAAAAAAAGCATGAGTTCTCAACTTTTACACCAGTTTCATTTTTTAGAAAATCACAGGGCAAAATTTGTATGGAAACCATACCTTCTTCTTCCTATTTTTTCTGCACCTCAGGAATTCACTTTATATGCAAACAGTCTCCCTCTCCAAAGCATTTAAAACTTTAACTCAAATTATCGAGATTTCAATTACTTTTTTCCCCGATATACAATGAAATCTATTATTGTTACTTATCCTTTTAACAAGCAGTAACAACTCTACTGCTTATAACATAATGTAGAATATTTATGATATAGGGACAAAACGTTTTTTTTTAGCTAAGGTTCTATTTTGCTGTAAATATAGATTACATATGCCTTGACAAGCATTCAATGGGAAATGGCCTATGAAGAACGAGAAAAAAGGCATATAATTATGACGGTATATAATTTGATTGATAATTTCGATAATCCATTGCAAAATTACCCCATATTCGAATAGTTTGTTATCCATTGATTGACATAAGGGACGTTTTACATCCTCTCTCCTTTCTTACTACTTATAAATATCATTCTCTTTTAAAATTATCGATTTTTTTAAAAAAAAGTTCGTGAACATCAAGACGTCTTGATTGAAATCATAGCTCATAATTATACCGGTATCTGGACCCATATTGTGTATAACCCATTACTAGTATGTGTTGAACCGAAAATCTCGCATAAATATGTATCCTTAATATTAAGAATTAAAGTACATGTATCAATGTTATATATATTTGAAAATGAAATATAATCTAATTTATTCCTACAATTAAAAAACTGAAAGTGCCTTTTTAACAGATGACATACAAAAATTTTAAACGAACAATTAAGTTTTTGAAAATGTCTTAAAGCAAATGCTGAATTATTATACGTATGTATGTAATTAGCTTATTATTTAATATGTGTATATATTTTTATGGGCTAAAAGTCTATAAATGAACAATTTAAAGTGTAATATACCGGTAAGACACTGACAAACTTTTTTACTGTTATGAAAACATTTTTTTATCTATATTCCTCTAATGTTCTGATTTTTTTTATGGCTGAATAAAACATGCACATCACAAAAATGGAATCAATGATGTCGACATAATTCTAACACACAAACTGAAAAATGACAAAATATAAACATACACTGTACAAATATTTATTATATTATGCTTATATTGTTGTTGACCCTCCATCTTCTTTCTTCTACAGATTTTTTGCACAAAATGATTGAAATTTTAAAACACTAATTTGGTGATTAATAAATTTTATTTTCTTTTAAACACACTTTTGTACTACCGGACTTAAATATATATTATGATTACATTATTCATACGTATTCTAAGAAATCTATTTACAAACACATTTTTAAAACGATGAAAAGGGTTACCGGTACAATAATCGCATGCAAGGAAGAAGGATAAATTTATATGACATATCAGTACAAGTCAGAAAATACATGTAATACAGTGTACATGTAATTATATTATTATGTAAGTCTTTTTGATTGTTCAGATATTAACAGATATATCTTCAAACTTCAATTCCGAATTCTTTCCTTCACGACGATTTTATAATCGGAAGGGACTTCTATTCCAAATCCTTTCATATTAGGCTCTGGATTGGCTTTCACACCATCTGGGAGACGAATATCAAAACGCTGCAGTAAGTTTGCGCACATCAGCAGGAGTTCCGGTTTAGCGACTGTTTCCCCAAGACAAACGCGCCTGCCAGCCGAGAAAGGGAGCCAACTCTCTGGTTTTGTTGGCTTTATTTTTCCTTCTTCATCAAGATAACGGTATGGATCGAATTTTTCGGGGTCTTTCCAGTATTTTGTGTCAGTATGCAGAGCCCACACATTAATAGCAACTATAGTCCCTTTCGGAATGTCGTAACCTCCTGTTTAATGATAAATATACACAGTATTTAAAATAAAAATATCAAACTCAATGTAATTTTTTTTAGAAAATGTTTTTATAATGAAGTTATTGGTAATGCTGGGTTTCATGAACTAGAGATCTGATTTCAAAGTTCATCCCATCAAGTGTAAGCATAATTTAAATTTGCTGCACTGTAGCGTTATGGTTTTCTATATAAGTCTTTGACTGATATGGTAAAAGACTAAAATAGAAACCCATAAATCTACAAGTTTGCAGATATATTTCAATCATCAATCTTCGATATATGTGTTCAGCCAGAAAAATATAACACTGCTATGCGCAAACAAAGTCGAAATATTTTGTCAATTCAAAGACTGTTTTGTTTAGGAAACCAGTCTGGTGAAAACAATATTCACATACCAACTTGTGTATCACAAATAGTCATGTGTGGTACCCCAAGTCCTACAACATGTCCGAGTCTCAAAGTTTCAAACAAGCAAGCCTCTGTATAATGCAAGCTGTTACGGTCCTTCATGGTTGGATGTCCAGAACCTAAGATAATTTACACGATAGTATTTTTTTATTTCAATTAATGTAAGAGTGCCATCGTTGACAAGAAAATGACAGCAATGGACTGCGGTCTTACCGACAACTCTGTCAATTTCCTCTTGGCATTTGATTTGGATGTCCGGATATCTGGTCATGAAATATACAAACCAGTCCATTGTAAATCTAGTGGTATCAACGCCAGCTGTAAACAAATGCAAAATTTATGTACATTGTCTAAACATTCTTTTAGTAGAACAAGTTCTTTCCAAATGCAAACTAATCCTTTTAATGCAAACTCAGTAATATTTTGTATATATTTTAAAGCAATCAAAACATTCTTTAAAAGTACAGAAGTACAATGTAAAATGAACACCCAACAACTGCCTAAATACTATCATTAAGGAATAAAGAGGCTACATATCTCAAAGTACAAATATTACTTTTGTAATAAAGATTAAAATAATGGTTTATTTGCATTTAAAAAATAACATTTCCTCTCTTAAAAGAGTACATTAAATTTAGAAAAGGATGAAATATATTTTGAGTTTTAAAAAAAACAATAACTTTCAACACAGGGTCTTAAACTATTTCTTATCTTTGAAATAAAAAAAAAGAACTTGACACGTTTAATCAGTAGTCTGTTAACTGGGTCGAATATTTGACTTCTGTGTTACATGAACGACGTTATATCTGAGACTGGTCTCGTTCAAATGACTCGGCACGGGGTTAAAACATTTTTGGCAGATGATACTTTTCTGTCATCAACAAGTTTCTAAGCGGATTGGACATGTTTTACTCTAGTCGCCTGCGTGGTGCATTGGTTAAAGATAAAGCTCTAGAGTATTTATGTAAAATGTGGAATTCACGTGTAGTTAGGTTTTTCACAATATCTCTTTGAAAATCAGCTATGCTGTGAAATGTTTTATCACCCTTAAAGATAAAGACATATATGTATATAATGATTACACAACCTGGTGAAAAGGTTTCCATATGTGGAAAAAAAATCGTGTGAAGCATTTAAGAATTTCAAATCAATCAATTTTCCTATAAAACTATTATTTTTTGTGCAATGAATCCACTTAAAAAAACAAAGTACATATCTCAAAGTAAAAATATGATTTTTATAATGAAGATTAAATTAATGGTTTAAAGATCCCTCTTCAAAGGAGTCACGAATTTTGGAAAAGGGACTGTATAAATATATTAAACAGTTTACCGTCAACCCAAGAAGATTACTGCAAAGAATATATTTGAAATGGTTTGAACCAGGTATGTATCGTCCAATCTCTCCAACGCAGCTTCGTCTCCCTCGTTCTCGGCTTCTTGTCTGGCCATCAGCAAACTGTCGATGAAGTCCCTGTTGATATCTAGAAAAAAAATTTAAAATGTATACTTCTAACTACTGAAATAATGAATTAAAGATATAGAAAAATATTTATCTAAAATGCAAAATACAGGTGTATGCTAATTTGCACAATATCTCTTTAAAAATCAGCAATGCTGTTAGATGTTTTATCACCTTAAAAAAAGAACAATGTGTATATAATGATTAACAACCTGGGGAGAAGGTTTCCTTGTGTTCATCAAATTTCTTGTGAAGCATTTGAAGAATTTCATCTATCATTTTAGTGACTTTCTTCCATTTAGCCGTGGGGCAGATATCTTTCAGAAATGGAATTATATCCTCTAAAAGACCAGCGCCGAAAAGTTCAAGGAGGTCGTTATCCAATTTCAGATAAGCTTTTACTTCCGGGTCATCGACAGGACGCCTGTATCAACATTTTAAAAAGTTTATCAGAAAAAAAAGATTCTACATTGCTAATGTGAATTAAAAATAATTATACTTAAACTATTCAATGCATTCATCATAGGCCAGTTCCAAGATGTTTTGAGATCTATAGATTTGGATGGTAAAAATAAACTTTTGATAATCATGTGGTTTTCTTGTGCTTCAATGTTATACTTTCAGTTTGGTGGTTTACTATATTCATCCGTCTGTCAAATTATTTTTTTGTCTGTTTTTATTCCGTAATTCTGTATTCTGTAAAGGATTTTCCTGTTTTTATGTCAAAAGATTCATTTTTCCAAAGGTTAAAGTGTACATTTGTAGCATTCTTATCTTATTGACCTTGAGTGAAAACAGAGCGTATATAGAGTTTTGTGGAAACCTCAAAAATAGGCTTTAAATTCTGCTCATATTCATTATAGAGGAGAGATAGGTATTTTTTTCGTACATTACATTACATATCATTTGTATTTTGGTTATATCACAAGAATACAAAAGAAAGGTAACGCAGTATAATATTTCAAAAATTGTTTTTGAACATATTTTATTGACAACATTTCAAATGGATTGGGCACAAGTTCCAAAAACTTAGATAGTCCTCTCCCATTTCAATCATTTATTAACTTTACCCTACAACGCTATATATATAGCGACTGAACGATAGACCAAGGACTAAGAATATCAATTTTTCTTCTTGTATTTTAAAAAAACTTTTTGTTCATTCAACTTGTTTGTAAGATATAGATAAGTAAGGAAGACATTTAGTATACCCGGTACATAAGTAATTAAGGTGATCTACCCATATATTAACTAATGACTGCAACAAATATACAAGTAATCAATGCATTAAGTAAGAAAAAATAAAAGTATGTAATCTTATGACACCATGAATTAATATACTTTTACTTTCGTATTACTTATGTTTATCTTATTAATAATTAGTATATTTACATAACTATATATACTAAGTATTCCTTCTACTCCTACTGTTGTGTTGGGAATAGATTCCAGTATTCACTTACTTTTCTCCGAAACAGATAGTATACAGCTGATGGAAAATCATTAGATTAACGTAGTCTTTGAAATAGAATGGTTCTTTCTCCTCTGCCATTTTAGCCAGAAATTTTTTAGTGTTGTCTTGTATCATATTTTCAAGCAGATTCCCTTGTAAATAATGCCTAAAAATTATACATGTGAAAGTTTATGTTTTAGTGACTAATTTTAAAGAATATTTCAACAGCTTGTAGCAATACTGAGTATAAATAAACAAAGACTACTTAAAATCTTATAATTATGAAAATGGTTTTTTACTTAAATATTAAAATTCATTATAAGAATTAATGGATCTAAATTAGTAAGGTGAAAGATTAACACAACTCAACAAAATGTATCAAATTCAAAATGTGAATAATTTATATCAGTTTTCCAGTTTTCACAATAAATGATCTTCAAATAAAAATAAAAGACAGGATTTGTAATTCATCCAAAATGCATCAAATGTAAAAATTAAACTGTTTTTAATCTTTGTATGACTTTGAATCTTCGTAAAGCATTTTTGGAATGCAAGGAGGTTCCCACCCGCTCCGGGATCCACTCCCAACATGTGATGGTAGCGGCTTAAATCTCTTTGACTTGTAAAGATGATATCCACCTCATACATGTACAATTAAAACATTCATTAAGTTTTTATCAAAGTTACCTCAAAGCTTTGCCTGCTACTTTCCTGTGGAATTTCCATGTTGGTGAATAATTTGTAAAAGCAATGTCTTTTCCTCCTTCGGTAAAAACTTCACCTTTAATTTCCAAATTACAAGTCAACATTAAACATAGAGTATTAGAAATAATTTTATAGCGGTCCAACAATACAGGCTTTATAAACTATAAAGAAGTGCAAATTTTTCCAACCCATGTTAAATTTGTATAACTTAAGTATCCATTAAATTCATTCTGTACACTCTAATTTCTCCATGATTGAGTGTAAAATAATTGGGATTTTTTTACAAAGTCCTTCAAATTGGTCACATTTTAAAGTACCATCAAGAAGATAATGTGATTTAGAGGGAATTTGACGTAAGCAATAAAATTTGTTATACGATATAATTTTTTACTTTTATCCAATCAAATGACGTGTTACAAACTAAATTTAAATTATAACAAGTTGATGATAAGCATTTTTGATAATTGAAATGATACAAAAATGACTTTTTAAAAATTATACCTGAATTAAATTTTGGTCTTCCAGCAAAATCTGCTTTCTTTTTCACCATTGCCTCTATAACGACGTCATTATTATTCAGAATAATCCACGTCTGGGGACCTATTTAGATTTGTAAAAACAAAATGTAAAAATAAATATTAATTTTGTATTTCTGAATATATCTCTGAGACAACGATATTTTTTTCATCAGAAATCCACAAATTATTTGATAAAACTTAAATTCAAACTTGATAAAAAGCTGAAAAGAAAGTGTTTCAGGAAGACGAACGCAGAAAATTTAATTCAATTGTACTGGTATTTCATGTTCATATTGTCTTCCATGAGGTTTTCATATGATACCATGATAAGGCAAAAATGAACATAGCTAAGAGAAGTCAAAGATAAAAAAAAAACAGACGACACATATATGTCTATCAAAAATTCAAATTTAAACTTCATAAATAATAGCTAGTACATGTACATGTACCTTACTCGGTAAAGCAAAGTTGCATTATGAATTGGAGAGGGTTTCCTTGGAATTATTTTATTGTCTGCTTTGTCTTATAAGTACATGTATGACTATGGTAAACGGGTACTTACCAAATGAAAGCCGTAAAACTGGACCATATTTCTTGGAAAGCTCAGTGACCTTATGCAGAATCGCCTTTGAGCTGTAGACTGAAAATAGTAAAAAAAATATTGTATTAAAAGTAATCAAAAACTGACAACTCGTTTTATTCCTTTTTATTTGTGAACTCTTCGATGCCTACTTTATTATTTTTCAATATTGAAATAATTAAGCTTTTTCATATCCATTTAATGGATAATTATATTGATACGTCGATTTCAGTGCCTTGTTCACACGGAGAGTTTTATTCGAATTAAACGTAAGATTATTCGAATTAGCTTCGCTTAGCGTTCACACGGAGAATTTAATGCGAATAAGTTTACTTCGAATTAGTTTACTAGGCATTAAATTACTTCGCATTAGCTCCGTGTGAACGCTAAGCGAAGCTTATTCGAATTAAATTCTGACGCATGCGTAATTGCAAAATTTAGTCAAATGACACTTGTCAGTGGTCAGCTATATATACTTGTGCTATTTTTGAGTGAAAAACTAAGGAAAATAAAGTTTGTTAATCATTAAAATGTGTATACAGACACTTTCCCATTATGTCAAATGTATCTGCTTTAGCACAAGGTGGCGTGATTTGCAAATGACGTCATAATAGCCGTGCTGACGCCGGGCTGCAGTATAGTAAAATTCTAATTCGCATTAGTGTACTTCGCATTAGGTGTCGTGTGAACGCAATTTAATTCGCATTAGTTTGATTCGCAAAGTTTACTTCGCATTAATTTACTGCGAATTAAACTCTTCGTGTGAACAGGGCACACATTTATATAGAAAGAAACATCTGGTGGGTTTTGTTTACTAAAGACTTCTTAACTAATTGGGCTATTATTTTAACAATTTTATAAAATTATTTTTTTAAACACAATAGTTACATTTATTTTGACAAGAAATAATAAGATATCTAGGTTAATTGTGTGTACACAATGTTACCTTGATAATGCCCAACAAGTGGAATGCACCAGGGACCTGGTGGCAGACGATACCGCATTCGTTTGATGACGTAATACACCAGGAGACCAATGGTAAGTCCCGCCAAAATGGTTTGCACATTGACAGAAAGGTTAAGCATGATGTCAAAACGACGTGCTTCTTGTTTCCACTCTAAAGACAATTTTGAGATACAATTAAAACTTTTAAAAGCATTATCTAAATTTCTGCGAATTCAACCAATGTATTTTTTCCCAGTGAACATTGCATTTGTTACCCTTCATTTTTTAGTATTGTTGTGTACAAGTTTGAATTCATTTTTTAATCACAAATATACTCATCCCCGGTCTCTTTCTAATAGTTACATGGTTTCTCCCTTTTCTTTTCTTTTTAACTTAAAGCATTTTATGGAACAATACACAGAGTCTGACATAATATGCTTCGTGTTTTGATGTTTTACTAGAGAAACTTTTATGGGAAACCTAGAACTAAGTAGTTTTATGATAAACCTATTGTGTGATGATCTTTTCAGAATGATTGTTATTCATTTTATTTCTATAATATTATGAAAATTGTGGGCATTAGATGTAAATGGGGAAATGGAAAATTAATGCTGACTTACATAGTGCTAGCTGTCACTTTTAAAAATTCAATCGAGCGAAACTTCATGTAACATATGTAATATAACAAGGCAAATTTTTTCTTCTTTACCATGCAGAGCTTCAAACTTCTTATAGTTTGTGAACACAAATAATATAAAATCAATTTTAATATACACTATGTACATGTACATATATACTCAGTATGTAATCTGCATTGTAGAAATGAATTGTCCAACTTGACAAAGTGGTAAGAATGGACTAGAGAATGGAGATAACAAAAGAGAGAACGGTGTTGAAACTGGTTTACAAGCGTGCTATCGATCGCGTTTTGAAAGGTAAACTTTAACAGGTCAGGTGTGGGGTTATTCGAGGTGATAATTGGGCTTATCTATGGATTTTGTTTGTACCAGTATTCTCGTTATTTTTTACATATATGCAAAAAATTGGGATATTTTCTTTCAAACTCAGTAATATTTTTAAGTAGATATTCAAGTGTTCAAAATACCCAATACACAGTAAACATAATACATATACAACGAATTCCTTTATGACAACAAAACTTAAATGAATGATGTTTAACTTTAATGTGAAATGACAATTTCATTTACAATACAATTTCACTTTGCTTCACATTATACACTGCATTGTAATGAACTTTGAATTAACCCTGACACAGCTGAGCTTCCATAAAACGTTCAATTCCACTGTTCAATGAAATAAACAAAAAAACTTACCAGCTAAGCGAAATAATGCAGAGTGAAAAAACTTCACGAGTGTTGCAAATTTATAGATGTTCCTCAACGTTATATGATCTTGTTGTAGATTACATCAGGTTCCGCAATGCCATTTTTATAGAAATTGAGATAGGATCCTCTTTTTTCAGTACTCTGACCTGTTTTGTGTCTGCGCAGTGTAAATATAAAGCCGGGACACTCACCTCAAAGGAGCGGATTTAGGATTTTCAATTCACATTGCAGATGGTCTTCCTAATAATATTCTAAAGGGTTGACCTTAATAAATAATTGTTTAATAATTCAAAATAAATATGAAAATGTTCTGATGATATATATTACACATTTTATTTTTTTTCAGTTATTTACAATGTAAAGAAATATAAACAAAATTAATGTAAACATAAATCATTAAATTTTGACGCATGCAGTTTGAAATTTTAATTACCCATATTTTTTATCATGAAAGTTTTGTTTTCTGCGGAAACATACTTGCTGCTTCGAATGCCCTGTACAGGATCAGGTATGTATTTTTTTTAGATTAATCTCCTTCCCCGAAATTCTGTTTACCAGCTAGTATTACTCACCTCACTGTTTAAAATTAATGTACACCTGACTGTTGAATTTGTACAACCTCAATTTCATAATTTTTGCCAGTAAAAATTAGTAGCCAAAGTGAAATGGTATAATTTTGATTTTTGAAATGTTGTCTTCTTTGAGAAATTCATAACAGTAGAAAATTATTTAAAGACATTAAATTCACAGTTCATTCTTATTTCAGTACAAGTAATCATACAACTTCAAATGTTGCGTGCATTGCTATGGATTGATTGTATGTTGTTTAACGTCTCTCTCGAAATTTTTCACTTATATGGAGATGCCACCACTTGCCGGTTGAGAGCTGCAAATTCTGTCCTACATGTATGCTTGGCACTTGACATGCTTTCACAGGCCATTGAGCAGTGAGGGATCTTTTTTTTAGTGCGAGCAGCAACTGCAACACTGGACCTCGGTTTCCACGGCCCACAGTGGGATTTGAACCCGCGAGGTAAGGATTGTCTCCTTACCTCGTGACTCTACAGCAGACGCTCTTACCACTGCGCCACGCGGACGATTCATTGCTATGGAAAATTGGTTGCAATAGTGAAATGGTCAAGCCTTATATTATTGTATTTCAAGTAGATATTCGCATTTTAGTGCATACATATCATAATTGCTCATGTTCCTGTATTACTTACTTACTTAATCCTCTTCGTGCTGGATAGCACATAAGGCCGTCACCAGAGACTTCCATGCTGGCCTGTCCTGTGTCCATTTCTGTATCTGTCCCCATGTCCAGCGGTTCTTTCCCATCTCTTTCTCTACAGATCTTCTCCATGTTTCTTTTGGTCTTCCTCTCTTTCTCTTGCCAGGTGGTGTCCATTTCAAAGCAACCCTTGGGGTGGAAGTTGGGTGCATTCTACATACATGCCCTATCCACAGCCATTTTCTTCTCTTTATAACTTGAGATAGAGGGGTGGTGTTGGTCTTTTTGTACAGCTCCTCATTTGAGATGGTATTTGGCCAGAAGATGCGCAGTATTCTGCGAAGGCAGCGTGTCTGGAAGGTATCTAGCTTGTTTGAGATGGTTTTAGTAACTTTCCATGCTTCAGCACCATATAGGAGGACCCCAAGCACGTTGCTCTTGAAGATCCTTATTTTGGTGTTTGTGCTGATCTTTGCTGACCTCCAGATGTTTCTTAGTGCAACATACGCTCCTGTGGCTTTTGAAATTCGAGCTAGTACATCTACCTCTGAGTTCCCATCTGTGGTGATCTTGCTTCCTAGATAGACAAATTCTGAGACTTCTTCTATTTCTTCATTATTTAAGAAATTTCCTGTATTAATGTTCCTGTATTGATTTCTTTTAAATTTCCATAGGAAATTTTCTAGACAGAGTTGCCTAGCAACCATTATTGTGTATGTTTTTTAATATCACGGCACAGTTTTGAGTACATCTTGTAGTCATTGTTTATAATTTATGCAACATTCCGATAAAGATATTTGTTTGCTTTTGAAATAGGATTAAATTGTCAAATTTACAGAAAGTAAATAAAAACATTAAAATAGTACACATTATGATTTCCTCTACAAACACCATAAGTGAATTAAAAGTATTTATACTTTTATTTTTTTAGCTAAACTATAAACTGTTGTAAAGGTCTACAACATTTTTTAATTTTTGTAACATTATAAAAAAAATAGTTTGTTTATTTTACAAGACACTCTACACTGGTTGCTATGATAACATAAATATGTTATTTTCCATAGTAGTCGTTTTTACTTGTATTTTACTCTGTATGACTTCAAATGTCATCATTATGAAGCATTTTGTAAAGTTTCAAAATCCCAGGTTATCAATGTGCCACCTTTTGCATCATTCTAACTGAGACCACTAGTTATAATTATTAATACATATATATTTCAACCCTAACATCATTCTTGTTCTAATGACCTCACAATGACATGAAGTCATAAGATTTCATTATTCTTTTTTTATTTTATAAATCATTAACATACAAAACTATAATTTATAAAAATGACAAAGTGATCAAGTGGTATATTAATATAAATATATATCCTATTATTGCAATAAAAAATTATTGATTTAAAGATTTTAAGACAAATATTGTTTTGTTTGTTCAGATTTACAGTTATATTTCCATTTACATGTTCAAGCTTCAATTCCCAGTCCTTTCCTTCACGACGATTTTATAATCTGAGGGAAGTTCTATACCAAATCCTTTCAAATTATACTCTGGATTGGCCTTTACGCCATCAGGAAGACGAATATCGAATCGCTGGAGTAGGTTTGCACACAGCAGCAAGAGTTCCGGTTTAGCAACTGTTTCCCCAAGACAAACGCGCCTGCCAGCCGAGAAAGGGAGCCAACTCTCTGGTTTTGTTGGCTTCATTTTACCATCTTCATCAAGATAACGAGTGGGATCAAATTGCTCTGGGTCTTTCCAGTATTTTGTGTCGTGATGAAGAGCCCAAAAGTTAATAAGAACTGTAGTACTTTTGGGAATGTCGTAACCTCCTGTTTAAGTAATAAGGAATTTACTCAAGTACATGATTTTATTGTTAAAGTTTTCTGACACCGTGATTTTTAAGACGTAAATAAATCAATAAAAAAGTCATGATTCGATCGACATATAAAATTATATCTACAAATAGCCTACATTTCGAAATGGCAGTAATAATACTTTGTAGCTAGGTCACTAACTACAGATGTTTTTGTACTCAATTAAAATAGTACACATTTTGTTTTTATTCAGCTAATTAATTAACAAGTATTTCTATATTTAGAGTATTTCACAGCATGTTCCTTTAACAATATTTTCCTGTCAAGTTCACAGATATCAATGTCACTTACACCAAAAGACAAAAAAAAGGTTGTTGACAAAATTGAATGACTGATTAAGCACTGAAACCAGATTAGATAAGAGTAAAAATCACATACCAACTTGTGTATCACAAATAGTCTTATGTGGTATACCAAGTCCCGCAACATTCGCGAGCCTCAAAGTTTCAAACAAGCAACCCTCGGTATAGTGCAAGCTGCTACGATCCTTCATTGATGGACGTCCAGAACCTGTGAAAGATAATCTACACGACAACAACATCAACCTTATTTTTTTCAATTAATACATCAGATATACTAGAAGTTGAAAATGAAATTAAGTTCCTTCCGTCTTACCAACAACCCTGTCAATTTCCTCTTGGCATTTGATTTGAGTTTCCGGAAATCTGGTCATGAAATATACAAACCAGTCCATTGTGAATCTAGTGGTATCAACGCCAGCTGTAAAAAATCAAAATAAATAGATTTTGTAAACCCATCAGTAAAACTGAACAGGTATCTTATTGGAATCAAAATTAATGGGTATTTTTATACATAATGTTTCTTGATTTTTTTTTATCATAACAGGAGCCTAAACACCTTTGCAGACGCCAACTATAAAGGATCAAATAATGCTTTGAACTGAGAAATAAATTCATTGCCTCAAAGCAAGAAAAAATGGATAAACAGGGATCGACCAAATACACATTCTAGTACTTTGTAATAAATCATTGATAGATTTATCTTCTTGTCAGAACAAATACATATTATTATGCAACTATTGCTCAAAAACGTGGTTAACACAAAACTGGACTCTCTTGGTTTTTGAAGAATACACAATGTATGAAGATCATGTATTGTCGTTACATTTTTATTTTATTTATTATTTACAAGTGTATTTGACCATTAAAATATTTCTTATCGGATAAAAATTCTTGTTTAATTCTTTGTTTAATTTGACCAATCAATTACATTTTTGCTCGTACTTAACATAAGTAAATAGCAAAGAGAATAACTTTTCTCAGTAGAGTTCCAATTTCACTATCAAGAGAGTCCTACTTTATACATTAAAACACTTTGGTCCATGGCTTCAAGAATTTCTCAAATTTGGTGAAAAAACTTTTGCTCTTTATAGACTGAGTATCGCCTACCAAAAAATATATCAGCTATGGTTTGTACAAGGTATCCGTCATCCAGTTTCTCTAAAGCATCTTCATTCCCCTCGTTCTCGGCTTCTTGTCTTGCCATCAGCAAACTGTCAATAAAGTCCCTGTTTTTATCTAGGAAAAAAATAATTAAGGAAATATTTAATTTATATAGCCAAAAATACCATTCTTACATGTACCTCTTAGGAAATTTATTAAATTATTTTAATACATTATTTCAAAAATAAAATTTATAAAATTAATTCAATTTCATTTAATCCATATTTTATTGTAAAATTTTGCAAAGGACAACAACCTGGTGAGAAGGTTTCCTTGTGTTGGTTAAACTTTGTGTGAAGCAATTGAAGAATTTCCTCTGTCATTTTCTTGAATTTCTCCCATCTAGCTGTGGGGTAGATGTCTTTCAGATATGGGACTAAATCTTCTGCGAGACCAGTGCCAAAAAGGTCGAAAAGATCGTTATCTAGTTTCAGGAGAGCTTTCACCTCTGGGTCATCGACAGGTCGTCTATTTCAATACATCAAAAGTTCATCACAAAAAGAAATTTGTTCTACAAGGCTGAAGATAGTTGTATGTATAGTAATTGACATATTCCTTAAATAGGATAGTAGAGGAATTGATTAATTAAAGATATTTGTTAAATGTTGTTTAACGTCCCTCTCAAAGATTTTCACTCATATGGAGATGCCAACACTTGCCTGTGAAGAGCTGTAAATTTTAACTTAGGTCAAAAACTTTGTTTTTGAAATATAGCTGCTGTGAGATACATGTTTAACATAAACAGAAGTTTCTGGCTAAATATAACTTATCCCCTATTATCTGCACCTAATCGGACAGCATCAAATACAGGTAATCCATTATCTATAGGAGCAATCACAATATAAGCTTATATAGATCTAAAACTATGTTTATTTTAGTATTCTTTTGTAAAGTGTTCTATATCAATAATAATTACGTCATAAATTACGTAATAAATCATAGTTTTTCCTTCTATGTATATTGTAAGCTTCCTGTAAACTTACTTTTCTCCGAAACAGATAGTATACAGTTGATGGAAGATCATCTGATCAACGAAATCTTTGAAAAAGAATGGTTCTTTCTCCTCGGCCATTTTATTCAGAAATTTTTCAGCATTGTCTTGTACCATACTCTCAAGCAGATCCCCTTGTAAATAATGCCTAAAAATATGTAATCATATCTTGCGACTAATATGTCTTATTATCAGTTTATTTAAATACTCAACATTTTTGGTAGCCACTGATGTACTACCACTACAAGAGCAAGAAATTTTACTGGATATCATATATGAAATGGTTTTAAAAATCTGTATTTCAATACAAAAATTCTATCATTAATTAATATCAATTGTATGAAAAAAAATTGAGCAAAACGTATCAACTTCAAAACATACGAGTAAATAATCAGGACCTTATAAAGTTTATTCAATTCAAAAATACTAGTATGAAAAAAATTATGGTTTTGAATTAAACGTACATTTATAATTTATCAAAAACATTAAAACTTCAAAAAGAAGGGTTTTTTTTTAAAGTCTTGAGGGTTCTGATTCGTTCCACTCCCAAGATAAGTTGGTAGCAGCTTAAGGTGGAATGACACACCAACTTTTTATTTTATAGATCTTTGAGTCATCCTTTTTAAACAATGGTTTCAGCATTGAAAGGCCGATATTAGCTTTTAATTATTTTATATTAATTTTTCCAAAGAAAATGAAAAAAGATATTTATATCCAAATAAGTTGTTTTCGAGTTAAAAGTTTGCTGTAAATGAATGCATCATATGAATATGAATATCTAATAAAATATGTAAAAAAAAAAAAAGGCTGGTTAGACTTTTTAATTTTTTTTATAAAAAAAATTATTTACGAAAATAAAACGCTTTATTTGTAAATATTTTTTAAACCTGTGGTTAAAAACACCATAAAACTAGTCACAACTGAGGACAACATATTTAAAAAAGAAATTGAAACCAAACTGAGAAATTTTAGAGAAATTCATTTTTCTTTTTAACTATTTGGACCTAACCCGATCAAAATTAAACTGATCCCGATCAAAATTAACACAAAATGAATAAAATGCTAATTTATTGCCTCTTCATGTATTTACAATGAAGAAATCTGTTTTATTGTCAAGTTCAATAATGTTTTAACCCTTATTACACCCAATCAGACAAGTGTTCTTAGGGAAATGTTATTTATTTCCAATAATTGTTTTCCACTTCCACAGATTTTATTAGTTGGTAGCATTCATGTACAGCAAATTTTTTAAACTCCATTTGGAGACTTGCAAAAATACAAAAAAATCATATAAAATAATTTAGAGCCAAACATTGCAAAGAGACCCACCTCGCTCAATTTGATGAATCAATATTTTTCCCAAAAATACCTTAAAGCTTTGCCTGCTATTTTCCTGTGCAGTTTCCATGTAGGTGAATAAGTTGTGAATGCAATGTCCTTTCCACCTTCAGTAAATACCTCCACTACATTTTCAAAATAAAACGTATTAGCTAAATTGTATTCTTGCATGCTGATTGTAATATTTTTTAACAATAGTTTTAATGCAGAGGAACTATAATTGTACTTGAATTGATTTTTGGTCTCCCAGCAAAATCTGCTTTCTTTTTCACCATTGCCTCCAGAGTAACATCAATATTATTCAGGACAATCAACATCTTTGGGCCTTTTAGGATTTGAAAAAAAGTTATATATGCATTAATATCATTTTGAATATAATTAAACAGCTTTTTGCCTTTCTTATCAGGGATTCAAAACAAGATTGGGTAAAAACTTCAATTCATTCGTGAAAATATGGTTTAAAAAGATATGATTAGAAAGAAGAACACGAATAAATTTGCCATATAATCTTCTGTAATTTCCTAACACATTTGATTTTGTCTTTGTTTTCATGATTTTGTTAAAAATGTTAATGTAATATCAATGACATTAGAACATCATCGAGAAAAATCACAAATAAAGAAGACGGCTCTTTACTAGGGCTAAGAAAAACTAATTCATATGTAAATAAAGTTACTACTTTGCATTATGAATACACTTTTTTAAGCATTTAAGATTTTTTAAGGGTATTTTTTACTGTCAGTCAGTTTTGTACATAGTAACCATAGTATAATAAGGACACTTACCAAATTTGACATGTACAACTGGACCATATTTTTTAGAAAGTTCTGCAATCTTCTTATGAATTTCAACTGAGCCGTAAACTGAAAGAAGTAAATATTAAGAAAATTTTCTTTTTAAAAATATTACTGGCTTTTGATGTCCTTTTTACTTTTGAGACTTTCATATTAATGCCTGCTAAATGAATTCAGTAGTGACGCGCCAAAATTCGAAAAATATGTCTTATTGATCGATATTGATAAATAAAACAATCTGTATATTTTTCATACATACCACAATTCTAAATTAATTGAACAATTCATGAATAAATTTCGAAAACACAACACAGGAACCATTTTGGACATTAATAATTTAAAGTAAAAGAATTTTTTAAATATTCTTACTTTTATAATGCCCAACAAGTGGTATGCACCAGGGACCTGGTGGCAGACGATACCGCATGCGTTTGATGACGTAATACACCAGGTAACCAATGGTAAGTCCCGCCAAAATTGTTTGTACATTAAGAGATAAGTAAACCATGATGGTAAGTTGATGTTTTCGTCTATTTTCCTCTCTATAAAAAATTTTGCGAATGAATTCATCATCAAATTTTCCTTTTCTACATTTTTGAATGTCAAAAATGCTTTCTTGTTACCCTTGATACTGTTTGCATTTTTTTTAATTTTTACATGATTTATTTTTTTATTTCAATCACTAGGAGGCTGACGAAGGTCTTCAAATCTTTTTTCTATTCATTTTTGTTTGTGGCCATACATGTCAATGTGTCTTGCTACAGTGTTCTAAACCTGAGACCATTTGTGTTTGAACGATTTTATTTCAAAGTTCTTATATGAAGAGACATGCTATTGACAATTAAGGAAACAAGGATATCAGCAGATTTGTTTAGAGTCAATATTTTGCAATTTCTTTAAAATTGATGGATACAATGACCCTCTTTGCACAAACAATCTGTCTTTATCTTTGTAAGTCTTATGTTGACTAATATCTTTCATACATTTTTAGGCCATTATTTTAATATGGAATTGTTAAAAGATTTTTTTGTTTATTATTTCGATGTGATTTTTGGATTAGAAACATGTAGATAAAGTAGTAAATGATAAAAGATGATAAAAAATAATATTAATAATAAATAACTATATATAATCATTAAAAAGGGGGACCTGTCCACAAGCATGCATTATTGTGGTATGTTTAAGGTAGTCCAATCCTCAGGTTTATAATATTAGCAGTTACGTAATCAAAAATACTCATTAAAGTATCTCTGAATCCACAAAATTATGTAAATTTATCCACAGTATTTCTTTTAAGTTAAAGATTAAAGTTAATCATATTATATAGGGAAAATTGTCAAATCTCCAATATTTTTGCAGAAAAAGCGAATTGGAATATTAGCCATGCATTTTTTAATTGTAAATTGATCAACAAATATATTTTAGGTTAAAAGACGATAGGTATCCAGGCATTCAGAGAAATTGTCATTATTTTTACATTTATTTTGGAAATTTTATATACATCATGTATTGTATAATACAAAGTGTAAAATGCTTTTGCTATCATTGCAAGAGACCACAAATCACTTCTTATTTCGTATCATGCTATTAAGCATTGGTATCTAAGGCTGGATTCAAGAAAATCTAATTTCTCTAAAACTGTATGTATTTTTTCCTTTTATAGGGTACAAATGTCAACTTTTATAAGTCCTTTTCTAAGACTTCCAAAAACCTTGAATCTTATAAAGATTAATAAAATGAAAATCGTTGCATGAAAAAATTTCATTTTCAAGCTTTATTTTGATGCATTTCAAATTAAATATTAATTTTTGGAGTTATCCTTCCTGGCTGAGGATCGGATATCCTTAACCCAGTTGAGCTTCCATAACAAGATTCATATTTTGCAGAGTTGCCGTTCGCTCCTCTCAGTGAATTAGTCTCGTTCAACCAGACGCTCGGCTGTCTCCGTAAACTCCGACCAGCTGGCTGGTCGGAGATTTACGGAGACAGCCGAGGGTCTGGTTGAACGAGACTACTCAGTGAATATAAGCCGATGGTGTTGCGTAATATGAATAAACAAAACTTACCAGTAGAGTGTCATACAAAACACTGCGCAGAATGAAAACCTGCACAAATGTTTGCGAGGTAGTCAAATGTAAATTACACTCCTAGGTCTTAATGTAGGTCACATCAAATGGATCAAACGGACATAGACAAATATTCGGAGATTACAGTTTTATCTTTGGCAGTACGCTAAAGCTGACCCTCTTGATTATGGAAAGACAACAAGTTCAAAATTCTGTAAGTCCTTAAAAATACACAAGTAAATTCAGTATGTAAATTGTACAATTTTCTACAAATATTATGCATCTTATACTTTCAAATTCTATACAATATGCTTAAATGTTGCATATATATTTAGATTATAGATTAATTAAGAGGCTAAATATTATAGTTGACAGTGCATCATATATATTCTATACATTATATACCTTTAAAAAATTTTCCTATATAAATCAATACTATGTATAACATTTCCATTTTTTTTTCCTTTATTTTTTTTTTTTTTTTTTTTTTTTTGCGGTCATTTAAAATCTAATTCGACATGTTCGGGGGAATGAGTATGTTGTGCTCCCACTTTTTAATAGCAGAGTAATTTCAAAATATATGTCAGCTATTTTGAAATAATATTAAACCTCATTTTATAGCATTTTTTTGTGTTCAACAACTGAGGAATTGAAAGTAACTTACCTTTGAAAAAAGTTGGCCATAATATGGTATATTGGGTATAATCTGGTTTGCCTACGTCCCAATGACTTACAAGTTTCATGGAGGGTGGGTATGTATCATTTTGTGAGCTCGGTGCTCACAGTTGGACGAACAACTAGACGGACAAACAAACGGACGGACACCCCAATCACAACATACATGACATAACCCCCTGCTTTTCAAGCGGGGACATAACAATCATTTCCTCTCACTTAGAAAAATGTTTATTTGACAAATAATAGAAGACGTTGCTATCTTTCACTAATTAATAACTTTCAATTGCCCAATGATAATGACAACATACTACCTTTGACCTCCTCTGTATACACAACCAGACGATGGGTTGTATATTTGACTGACATGTTAGACTGCGAAAAATCCATTTACCTTCTCAATACAAAGAGTGCTTAGCGGGAGTAACTTGTCGACAGGGATGCTTCCTCCTCCTGGACACCTAATCCCAGCTATGGGAATTCGAGTGATCTGTATCCGTTGCTCTGTTTACAATTTGTATTGTGTAAGAAAGGATTTGCGAATTCGGTCACTGCCTGTTTTCTTTACCTTTTTTACATTCGTGTTTATTGTTACATAATCAATGCATGGTTGGATGTGGGTTTTTTTACATACATGTCTATAATAAGATTTTTCAGACGGCGATAAGTATAAATAAATATGTAACATGATAGCTTCAACAATGTAGATCTTGCATCATATGGTAATCCCTTGAGGGAACTAAGGATTTGCCTTGTATACATCTACCTTAGTTATAAAACGAGTAATAAACCGTTCTGCATATGTGAAAGTGTTATTAATATTTATAACTATATAAAGAAACATATAAATACCGTACTTATTACTAAGCATGGTTAAAAATTTGCTTTTTGTTGCCTTTCTTCTACTCTCCGTGAGATACATTTGTCCGCAGATTCCTGAACAATCCGGCTCCGAACTACCAGTTCTCGGACTTTTGGGTGCCGTGGGGGTTATCGGTAAGTGTTGTTTTACTTCGGATAGAAGGGTATATTTTTTTAAAGAATACTAGTAGATATATTTATTTATATTTTTGAACAGTCCTATAAAATGAGAAAGGTAAAAAAAATAACAAATATTGACCGAACTTGAAATGATGCGATTCAAATATTAATCCAAGGCAAAAAGCAAGAAAAAGCTAGAAATTTCAGAGATGGGATCAGGTGCCTACTCGGGGTAAGCATCTCCTTTTGACCAGTCACACCCCGTGAGCTCTACTTATTGATTAGGTAGATGGAAAATTCCATAAAGTGAAATTAAGTTGGCTTGTGCTATGGATACAAAGACACAACAATTGAAATAGAACATGGGACAGAATACAATCAACTGATAGGTTAACTTTGTTCATTCTGGAGTTTTGGACTATATAAATAATATGCATAGTAATGTAGCTAGCATTAAAACGGCTTCTCTTATGCTATATGCTAATATCCAGTGTTTTGAAAAGGGCAGCTTGCATATAAGTAAAGCTAATCAAGGTTTCACTGTTGTTGAGAAGGTTTTAGGGGGAAAAAACAAAAATGTGAGGTAAGGAACAGCTATTATTCAAGCTCAAAAGTCCATTACAAAATAGGAGCAGAGCAAACACAGACCTCCATACCATCAGAGGTGGGATCAGGTGCCATGGAGGAGTGAACATCCCCTGCCGACCGGACCTCCTGTCTGCTCCTTGTCAGGATCGAGAAATAACGGGAAAATCCGTTGACAATTCAGTGTTTATCAAATGGCCATTTTGGACTAACAATTAGAAATAAAAAAGTCAGTCAGCATTTGAGTTAATGATCAAATGTATCTGCTGACAAGGTAATTTTATTAACAATCAATGTACTGAAAGTACTGATAGACGGAGGCTTGGAATGAACATGATTGTTTGTCTCTTTGGGAATTTTTTATTCATATTCTGACCCCAACATTTGCCTAAGGGTAGTTGGCCATATCTTTTGAAAAGTAGATACCAGGACATTAATACTTCATATATCTTTTTTTGTGGAAAGACTTTTCATTGGACATTAACAAACTTGACCTTTTGACCTTGACCTTCGATATTCTATACTTATGAAAAAACTTTAACCTTGGCCATGACTTTTGAATGGTAAGGGATATATAGGGGGGGGGGGGGGGGAAAGTGTTTCACAAACACATCTTCTTCATTTATGTTACCGTGGTCTAATGTTTAATTATGTAATTTACTGAATTCCTATTTTTCATCAAAAGGACAAACCAATCTAATTGCAATAAACTATATCAATTTCAATTCTTTAGTGACTCGTGGTAAGAGCTTCCTGAAATGTGAGGAAGCCAAAAAGTACTTTAGTATCTCTAACTCTTCAGGACTAAAAGGAGCTGAGATACAAGCATTCAGATATAACAATGCATAGATCTACAGGCACATTCAACTTTTAATTAATAGTTCTGTTGTGTTGGGTATGAACATAAAGAAGATCCAAATATTTCCAACATTATGAAAAATATCAAGCAGAACAGACGCCTGTTTGGGTGCAGATCTTGAAATGTACTAAGCTCTACAGGTATTTGTTGTCCAGTGCGCATTAATCCTGACTTCCAAATTCTTACTTGACTGGTGATACCTTTAGAAACATTTGCATCTAGGTGAAAGTTGACTCCGCAAAATATGCCATCCCATTGTTCAAGTTTTATAAAGTGATTACACCGCCTTGACTAGATATTGTGGATTCAACGATACCCTAATATCCAGTATTATACGCGATTTTACGGATAATACCCATTTTCATTGAAAATCCTTCCCGTTTCAGAGGCGGATCCAGCCACTCTTGAAAGAGGGGTTCCAGGGTTGTACTGTCCATATACCCCCCCCCCCCCCCCCCCCCCCCAATTCCCATACACACTCTCAAGCAAAGATTCACACACACGTATGGAAGATCTTAGGTTTCGTTAAATAATATCTGTTTACGTCCATTTATTTCTTTGGTCCCCCAGTCCGAATTTAAAGAAAAAATTAAAAAAAAACTGCTGAAGCCTTAATTAAAATTGAATGGATTTGCAGCATTTCCAAAGAGTATTAAGAATTTTCTTTTGGAGTTTGAAAAAAAAAATCCGTGGTGGATGCAGGTTGGGTTTAAAACAAATATGTTATTCCTTCAAATGATATGATTAAAACGGTTTTATAATATAGAACCGTTTTAATCATATCATTTGAAATAAAAGTATGGAAGAAAATTAATGTGTGAGAATCTATCTATTCAATACATAAGTTAGACGTACAAATATATGTATTTTTATTTATTCTCGGAAAACGTTTCATTCTCTCTCTCTCCACTAGACAGAAAATAAAGTGAGCTTCCAATTCCCGGACCCCCCCCCTCCCTTGGATCCGCCAATGAACCGTTTACAAGCATTCACCCATCCTTGACACTTTTTCAATATCTCTCCAAGGTTTGGGAAATCTAATAAATTCAACTCCTTGCACATATTTTTTGTGGGCATACTTTGAGTCACTATTGCAGATTCCATGACAACAGTGTTTTATTGCATCCTTTTTTGCACAGGTTAGCCATAATATTACTAAATTTACACCACAAAGTAAGATTCAAGCCACTGTTTTGGTTTTGGTCATGTAAACATAGAAACATGTGGGTCAGTTTGTCCCATCTAACTTCTGAAACATGTGATAAGGAATTCTAAAAAAAGATGCAGCAGAGCTATAAACAGACAAGCCGCAGCTCTCTGCTGAGTCAGTGAGTGAACATTTAAAATATGTCAGTTTCAATGAAACAATGATGCAGATTTCTTTTATCTAGGTAATGTAGTATGTTTATGTGATAGGACCTTCGCAAACTAATAAAAATCCCCCAGGTGAGGTGAAAGGTGTGAGATAATTATAGGTCCATGAGAAAAAAAAAGAATTATGTATTGTATGTGGAAAATATTGTGACCGAATTAGATTAATTGCATCAAAAGCAGATGCAGAGAACTGCACTCGGTGATCTGTTTTGGTTTCCCCGACAATTTAAATTCTATGTCAGCGAGAGTTTTTATCAGCCAATGCGCGTGTCAGCAGCGGACTCTAAACATTACTGATCACCTGTCTGTATACAGCACATATCCGATATCAGACAGGCATGCCAGTTTATCAAAGTTTAGCCTGGTTCCCTGTCCCTGTTTTGCTTCATGTACTCCTGCTTTGGAAAGGATATGGGGGACCACGCTATATCAAAGTTAACGTGATTAGCCGCTAGATATCGCAAATTCCCTTCCGCCGCAGCTTGAAAAGGCGGAGGCTAAGCCTCCGTTTTTATTGACTTTAAACGAGACTGCTAATGTTCTTGCTTTAGATTTAAGTTTTTTCCCTGTATATTCTTATGTAAAGCCTTTGATCCCCTACTTTAATCTCAACCTACCCAGGTGATTGGTGAATTTATGTAACTAGAATCTACACTTCCTGAGATGCGTGTATAACAAAGACTATATTCATATAGCTTTCCTATTATTGAATGGGATATTTTAGAGGATTTTTGTTTATTTATATTTAAAATTTTGATCTCTCCTAGTATTCTATCCACCCCCGAGGTCATGATTTGAACGAACTTGAATTTAATCCACCTAATTATGCTTTTAAAAATTATATTAATATAAATACATAAAACCAATCGTGACTTTCCTGTTCATGAGAAGAAAAGACAAAAAATCTGTTTATTTCTTTTGTAAAACTTTTATCCCTCCTTTGGACCCATCCTGTCCCCCAGGGTTTAGGATCTGAGAAAATTAAAATCTGAAAAACTTGAAGATGATTTCATATCCATGAGACTAATTATAGCCCTACTCTAGCCCTCGAGATCATGGTTTACACAAAAGTGAATTTACACTACCTGAACTTTCAACATAACTATGATTAGTCATAACCTCATTCCCCCTTTAGACAATTCCTAGTATGTAAATCTTTGATTGCCCATTGCTGTTCCACCTTCCCTGGGTTTGGATTTGAACAAATATGTCAAGAAGGTTTCACTAGAGTTTTACTTTTACTGATTTAAATGACTTATTTTGAAAAATAAGATTTTTAAAATGACCACATTCAAAGGACAGATTTTGAGCCTTTGACTCAAGTTAGAAACAAAGGAATTTGATGAAATTTTGTTGATCGTAACTTCATTAGCCTATACTTTTTGTGATATTTCACCACATTTTTCTAGCCAGCGTACCATCTGCAGCTCTTTCAGTTGGAGTACAAAGACTAAGGTCAGAAATAAGGGACTGTGAAAATGAAAAGGAAAAGCTGGGGTCAGAAGTTTGCAGTATGGCCTTGGCTCAAAAACGGACAGAACTGGAGGAAGCAAAGGCGGATCTGGAGGAATGCAGGGGTGGCTATGACAATTTTTATGGTAAAGTTATTTTCACGAACGGGGAAACCGAATGACTACAAGCATTTTGATTGCATAGTTTTATAAAAGAGAAAGAAGGAGGCATTCTTTTTCTATTTTTGATTGCATTGCTTGTAAAGCAGCAGAGAAACACGCAGACAGAGTATGTGTTTTTAAAATTATCTTCACGGTATAACTAGTCAAAAAATATTCTTTTCTTTTTAGAGTTTCTCGATAATTTGTGTGATGTATATAGATTCAAAGAGTGTGATTGTTCCTCGATAAACTCTGAAGCTGAGTGTAACAGTACGGGGTATTGTGAATGGGGTGACTGTGAGACCTGTGACTGAGGGAGATGTTATTGTATAGACTACAAGCGCATTTTATATTTTTATGCTGCTTAAATGAAGTAAGATGCAGAATGCGATTCAATGCGTATATATAGATACACGTACTAAACATATAAAAAATAGTACAGATACACCAAACATACAATAATTTAATTTCAAACAATTTTGTGCATGATGAAGTGAAAGTTCAAAGTGCATGTTCAAAGATGCGTTATTGTTAGATTGCTTTGTTTTGTTCTGTTTATTGGCTTTTGTTTTGTTTTATCTTGTTTAATGTGTTTGTGATGTTAATATTGTCGGGGTTTTTCTTTAACGGGGAAGGGGGTCATTACTTATTTAAATATAAAGAAATGTAATGTTATTGAATTCATCTCTTTAGATATGCAGGGACAGATTTCTCTAACTCTTCAGAATGAAATTTAACTTTAAAAGGTTTGATATATTGATTCCTAAATTTTTCATAATAAAAGGTGAATTTTCAATGTTCCATTAATTCTGTCCTTATGTTTGCAAATCTTGATATTTTTATGCACCTTATCCACATTAAAGTGGACCTGTGAAACCAATTGATATACTTTTTGTTTGCAAGAATACATTTTGGTCAATTCTGAATTCAATAATAAAATGATTGGGGAAATCATTGAATATTTTTCCAGTGATATAGGAAGATAAAGAGCAGTAATAAGCCTTTAAAAGGCCACGGAAACAATACGAACTGAGAGCAGAGCAAGCACAGATCTCTACAAGGCTGGCAAAGTCATTGTATAGATCATACCACTTACAAAATGATTGCTTTAAATGAGACTGTTGATATCCTTGTTTTATCAACTTGTTTGTTAATAACTTTCCCCGTTTTAGAAAATGTTCATACGTATAGAGCATTGTCTTGCGTATCGAATCAACTGAGAGCTAAAAACCCCGTATGCAGGTGATAGAAGTATATTAAATTGCCACATAAGTAATGGAAGTTAGATATTAGAGTTTAAAAAGTCATTATGTCTATCATAAAGGTTTGTTGTTAGATTACCAATAACGTCAATTTCTGGTAGAATATCTAAATATGAAACAGACGTGTCAGACTCTTTGGCATCTTTTATTTCAATCTCACCGGGATATATCCTATGGACATAAAATGGAAATAACATGCAATTGTTAAATTTTAGAATTTGAACAAAGTCTGTTTCATATGAATACAAAAATAGGTATGTTAAAAACGGGACGCAATTGCTGCCCATGGATATTCCAAGATAGGTCTCTAAAACCCCCATAGATAAATCAGTCAGAAACTCGAGCATGTTTTAAAAATCAACTTTGAACAGAGTACTTTTTTGCACAGTCAGAATGTTTTAAACAAAAAATAATTTTGCAAATGACCAACGACAAGGGACAAAGTAAGTTAATTTACTATTTTTATTGAAAAGGAGGCTGTTTTTATGTCAAAATGCCTGGACATTAATTAATCGTTGGGAATGGTTATATATAACGTTGGAAAGTTTTAAGCTATGTTCTTGATTCTAATGGAATATTTTTATTTCAAAATTTCTAACAGTTCATTGGAGTTTATATTTAACATGTGCGGATCTAGAGGAGGGGTCGGGGTGGGGTGGGGTGGGGGTCAAGACACCCCCCCCCCCCCTGGAATTTGCAGAGATATTAAATTGATACACTAAACCAAGTAAAAAGTTACCTTCGACCCCCCCCCCTAGAAAACGGAGACCCCCCCTTGAAAAGGCGGATCTTGTGAAGTTGTTATGAAAAGTAATAGATATAAAGCATTAGAAATCAAAAGTCCCCCCAACCACCACCACCACCACATCATCGTCTCAAGTCACGGTCCGGAGTCTGCATAAAGCTCTCTCCTGCATTTTGGCCGTGGTTTGCGACGATGCCACCACATAGGGTTTTCACGTTCGAGTAATTAGTTTAGGTTTTGTTTTGTTTTGGTTTATTTTAAATTTAAAAAAAATATTATTTATTTATTTATTTATTTATTTTGTTTGTCAATAACAAATTTCTGAGGTGAATTTTTTTTATTGGGATGGACCCCCCCCCCCCCCCCCCCCGGAAAAAAATTCCTGGATCCGCGCCTGTTTACCATTGAAGTCTATTGAGCAAAATTAAATTAGAACAGAAAAATATAGGCAGATGTAATTCAAAATGAAAAGTTCAAGGAGCACTGGGTGAATATCCAGATCTGTGTACGAGTTCATGGTGAATATATGAAGGACAATTAAATACCTCAAGACACATCATCAATGAAACGATGAAAAATCGTTAAATAGAACGGAAATTGTATCAAAATTGGTTGTCTGAAAAGAAGATTATAATCGATATTTCTTACGTAAATATAAAGACTGAAGGCACAGGGGGGCATTTAAGGGTTAAATTAAAATAATATTTTTCAAATGATATATCTCAAGCTTGGACAAGAAACAGTCGGAGATAATGGAATACTTTTTAAGGTTTTTAGCAAGTGGTGGCATTTGCTGGAAATGTGGTATATTTGCTGCAATATTAATCATTTTTCTCCAGAAAAAAATTGATCGACAAACCATTAAAAAAACACATCCCTGTAAAACTGAAAAACTAACTAGTGTCCCAGGGGAATGGGGAGCATATGGGTAGAGGAAGAAATCTTTAAAACTTAAACATGTTAAATAAAAAAGGAAATTGATGTCAGCCATGTGGATCAGAATTTAGGCATGGCATGCTAAGAATCAGAGTATTTTTTATTTAATATACCTTTCTTTTCAAAAAAGAAGGAGCGTTAATTTCGCTGTAAACGTCGGTGTTCGTTTACCAATTAACATAGAAGAAATATCCTTGGAGGGACGTAAAAAATACACAAAAACTTTTTAAGCTTTCTACCAGAAAACGCCTAAATTATGTGCTGCTAATACGTTACATAAAATCTTATTTTCCCCCACTGAATGCTATAGTAAATGGTAACGTCCTCTATATTTACAGCAGAATCCAAACTCAGTTCTGAATATTTACCTCAATGATCCTAATATTGACCCAGTATTCTCAATATTGACACGTGTTTCTTCCTTGTGCTCTCAATATTCACTTCAAAGTTTTATGTACGGAACGTATAAACACTCGATGTTCGACCCACTTATAAAGGGGCGTGATACACCCTCTACCTTTAACATGATTAAAAAAAATAAGTTTAAGGTAAAAAAAATTATTACAGAATCAAGTGCCTGTGGAATATACAAAGGAGTTCAAATTTAACAATTCTCTATCTCTCAAAATTAATTGATTATATAGCACTTGACTACATACATAATTTTAATGGGTTTTTTTTTTTCAAGAAAAAAGTCTGCATGCTGTAAGCTAGAGGTCATTTGTAAATTCTCACAAAGGCTAAATCTATGTAACGTACCATAAAAGATATGCGGTTGAGTGTGCCATATATTGCTCTGAGTGCTCCATATTGAACCCGGTATTCTCAATATTAACACCTATCCCTCAGTATCGTGCTCAGTTTTCACCTTAGAATTGCTCTAGACTGATCTAGTGCCCTAACTCTCAACCCATCTCGTTGACCTACATGTATCGTACATTTTGAATCGTCGTTTTATTTCGGCTGTTTATTTTCAAACTGCTATGAATTATTATATAATGATAATAATATAGAGCAAAATTGTTCAATAAATGTTTAAAATTAGTTCCATGAATTTAAATTGGTGCGTGGTGACATTCATAGTTAAAATATTGAAACCAGCACAAACTCGACATCAAAATAAATTTGCAACTTCGACCTTCAAAATATAGGATAGGACATATTTATTATTCCATACAACGTGTACGTATGTTACCAGTCTTTCGTACTCAACATGCATGTTGAGCTAAAACCTGAAATTGACGACCATAATATTTTGATTCCAAAAGGGTGGGATGGGGTTGGGATGAGCTAGTAATTTTTTTGAGTTGAATTATTTATTTTTACCATCAAAGAACACATGATGAAGGACATATTATATATTTCAAAAAAAAAAAAGGAACAAGAGATGTTTGTAAAACACTTATGCCCCCCTCCCCCACAAATTGGAATTTTTCTAAGTCCAAAAGGGCAAAACTCTGTCAAAAATGGTGTGATCATATGATCATACCCAAAACAGAACTTGACCAAGATATTCATCTGACTAATCTGTATACTAAATTCCATTTCATTGTGTGCAACTTCTGCAAAGCAAATGAATGGAAAGTGCAAAAATATGGAATTTTTCTAAGTCCAAGGGGCATAACTCTGTCAAAAATGGTGTGATCATACCCAAAACAGAACTTGACCTAGATATTCATCTGGCTAATCTGTATACTAAATTCCATTTCAATATGTGCAACCTCTCCAAAGAAAATGAACGGAAAGTGCAAAAATATGGAATTTTTCTAAGTCCAAGGGGCATAACTCTGTCAATTATGGTGCGATCATACCCAAAACAGAACTTGACCTAGATATTCATCTGACTAATCTGTATACTAAATTCCATTTTAATATGTGCAACTTCTCCAAAGAAAATGAGCGGAAACTGCAAATAATTGGAATTTTTCTAAGTCCAAGGGGCATAACTCTGTCAATTATGGTGCGATCGTACCCAAAACAAAACTTGACCTAGATATTCTTCTGACTAATCTGTATACTAAATTCCATTTCAATATGTGCAACCTCTCCAAAGAAAATGAGCGGAAACTGCAAACAATTGGAATTTTTTTAAGTCCAAGGGGCATAACTCTGTCAATTATGGTGCGACCGTACCCGAAACAGAACTTGACCTAGATATTCATGTGATATACTTGTATACCAAATTTCATTTCAGTATGTGCAACGGTTATGAAGAAAATGAGCGGAAACTAAATGGACCGACAGACAGACCGACAGACCGACCGACCGACCGACAGACAGCAGCAAAGCAATATGCCCTCCCTTCTTCGAAGGGGGGCATAAAAAGAAAAAAAAATCGGCTCAAGCTTCATTTCGTTGGAGTGGGTTGGGGGTAGGTTCCACCAGTCAGTGTTACAGTGTTTTCCTTTTTTTCCCAGTGGAAGACAAATTCTCAGTACAGATTATTTGCTGTCAAATTCTGCAAGCCCCCCTTCTCTCAGTATATTTTAAATGGCCATCCCTTAATGATAAAAGTAATTAATGGTATATAATAGTACAAGTAGAAGTTCAGGTAAATTTGTTCAAAGGTGCATGTATAAAGTGATACAATCTAATTAAAATTAGATCTTTGATCCGCTACAGTTACATCGCTACACAGATCTAACTGGAGTGGATCAAAGTTCTAATTTTAATTAGATTGTGAAAATCTATGATCCTCCCCCATTTCTCCACAAAATATTTACCGGGTAGGTATAAATATCACCAACATGATCTATTTATGAGTTTATGACTATGGGAGAAGAAACTTCTAAAAATCAAAATCCTTTAGTTTAATTTACAAAATAATATTTATTAACTGTCATCACAGAAGATCCAGTCTTCACAGTCATTGTCACAGACAAAACATGATTAAACACTGTCAAACATACACCACTCAATGCTTGGGATTGCAACATGATGCAGAACAAAGACCATACAATAGTAGAAAATGTCCTAAAATGGAAATGTTCAAGGAAATGAAATCATTAATTATTGACAATTTCAAAATTTTAAATACAAATGTTATATGAAAAATTTTGTTTTTAGTTAAAAAGAGAAAAAAAATTATTCTTTTTTTCTATTGACAGTTTGGGTTAATGAGAGGAATGGATAAAATCAAACTTTCAGCCACTGAAATCTTTCAATCATTATGGCATTAACTATCTAAGTACTGAATACTCTGAATCCATTCTTTGATAATTATTAAAGTACTCATCACATAAGTTGGCTCCAATGTAAATATACCTGAATTGTCATCATGATATGAAACACGGGCAAATCTTTTTTAAAGTATAACCAAATGAGAAATGTAATCATATGCCCAAAGCAATCTTTCATTTCAGAATAATTTGACAAAGTATTTGGCAAAGTGGTTTCAAATTTCTTCAGTGTTTCAAATACATCATGTTAATTATTACACTTCAAAATGTATTATTTATATTTGAAAACATAGTTAAAATTGTCTAATCCTAACTGCTTGGAAAGAAATCAGTCAGATTCCATGTAGACAATATTCCCATTTTGGCAACGTTTCAAACAACCAAATTTATAGAAAGGAACTTTGAGTTTAAATTAATTGTATTAGGCAAGATTTCAGAACATACAACATCAGGATCAGACAAGTTTCACTGTATTCACTGTTTCTGGAAAATTATAGACTATAATTAACACATACATACAGAACTTAAACTTGCATCATTCATTTTTATGAACATATGCAAAACAGGAGAAAACAAATTACATCTTATTTTTAAAATAAGTAACTCCACCATATCCAACAGAAATGGAAATGTGTGTTTGAAACAGCTAAGTCTGTCACAATTTTTGCAAAGCACCGTATATATAACATATTTTTTATTATACCATAAACCACTATTTTCATTTACATGTATTTTTGTAAGTGATAACTTTTGATGAAGCACTATAAAAAAAATAATGACAATGACTGCTATCTATATCAAGATGTTAAAAAAAAAAAAAAAAAAAAAACGTGTATTTTTCAGTACAATCACCAAACTAATTCATTCACACGTATCCCTCAATATTTTTCACAAAACTTTCACTCACTCATTTATTCTTTTCATACGTTTTTATTTTCAATTCTCTTAAACATTTGCAAAATGGAAATGTCACATCACAAACACCAAACCATTTATACAATATTCCCAATGAGACAATATGAAATTGCTCAGCCCTAAAAAAAAGTTCATCATCCCTATGTTTAAATAAAATTTGTTTCAATGAAAATAATTTTCACAAAAAGAGTGTCAATTACAATTGAAATGATGGCAATTTCTGCATACATTGTGGTACTAATTTTAATAGAAATTGCCCTCTTATAAACTTGGCAATTTTTAATTGGAAAAATAGTTATTAGTTTCACGAAGAGTTATCTCTCTTATCAGAGAGTCAATGAACCTTAACTTCCTACTCCCATAAATAAAATAATTTATAGTATACTTATTGGCTTTTCTGAATGATAAAGTTAACTTTAAATGCATTAATTAATTTCATATTCAAGACATATCTAATGATATAATTATGAGGACTGCTGCTGCTTCAATATCTCGTCAAGTTTGGTCCAGACGTGATCTGTGTAGTAACGAGGAATTAAGATCACTAATGCTGTACCACTGTTATAACTCATCATGTAAATGTAATTTAGAACCTGTAAAAAGAAAAAAAATCAAAATATTATTTATCATAATATATAGAGAATAATACATACCCTTTTCCACATCACATCCTGTATCAGCCCGAGATACCAATATCAGCCAGAGGGCCGAAGGCCCGAGGGCTGATACTGGTCGAGGGCTGATACAGGATGTGATGTGGAAAAGGGTATGTTTTATTATATTTATTACATACTTAGTAATAAAATACAGAACACATTAAATTGAGAAAAAAATAAGTAAATAATCATGCACGGACTTCTTAAATGTACACAGTCTATTGTCTCATACATTTTCGGTTTGTTTCTGCATGTACTCCTATTTCAGATGTCCTCAATCCGTAATTTTAGAATAATCTATTATTTATCAGTTAGATTATCATTACATTCAAAAAGTTAAAATTAAGAGAATTATGTAACCCCCCAAATATGTGTATGATCACAAGTACTGTTTTTTGAGGTTTAATTTAATAGAGGTGTGATATTGATTTGTATCAGCCCTGCAGAGCTGATAACCTATATCAGCCCCGCAAATCCATATCAGCCCTGCAGGGTTGATAGGGCTATTGTGACATCAGCCATATCGCATATGCAAACATAGGCAATCAGAGATTACAGAGCTCACCTCAATGAATGTTGTCTTTAAGTAAGGCAAATTAAGTCACACAATTAACCAACAAAAAGTGTACATCCAAAAATGCAAAATTTATGCAATTTTGATACTTTGGAATAGACCTATATAAAAACTTACAACTAGTTCTTCATCATGAAAATGTAATTAAAATCCAGCATCTGAAGCAAGATTGAGAGTTTTCATCCCTTGATGCATCATTTGTGCAACTTTGGTTTATATAAGCCTTATAGTTTCTTGGTGATAGACCTGCACCCATAACTTTTAAGAGGTCTATTATCTGGAAAATGTATGTTGAATTCAGCATTTAAAAGCAAGTCCATTAGTGTGCATCCTAAGATGTATCATCCATGCAAGTTTGTTCAACATAGAGCTCAAAGTTACTTGGAAATGAAACCTGTATAAAAAACTAACCTTTTCACTAATCCGGAAAATGTAGGTCAGATTCAGCTTCTGAAGCCAGCCTAGTAGAATGCACCCTTAGATGTACCATCCATGCAAGTTTGGTCATTATAGGGCTCAAAGTTACTTGGAAATGAATCCTGCACCATAAACTTTAACCTGTTTACTCAACCGGAAAATGTAGGTCAGATTCAGCATCCGAAGCAAGTCCGGTAGTATGCATCCTAAGATGTACCATCCAGGCAAGTTTAGTCATTATAGGGTTCATAGTACCTTGGAAATGAAACCTGCACCAAAAATTTTAACCTGTTCACTCAACCGGAAAATGTAGGTCAGATTCAGCATCCGAAGCAAGTCTTGTAATATGCATCCTCAGATGTACCATCCATGCAAGTTTGGTCATTATATGTCTCATAGTAACTTGGAAATGAAACCTGCACCAAAAACTTTAACCTGTTCACTCAACCGGAAAATGTAGGTCAGATTCAGCATCCGAAGCAAATCTGGTAGTATGAATCCTAAGATGTACCATCCATGCAAGTTTGGTCATTATAGGGTTCATAGTACCTTGGAAATGAAACCTGCACCAAAAACTTTAACCTGTTCACTCAACCGGAAAATGTAGGTCAGATTCAGCATCCGAAGCAAGTCTAGTAGAATGCATCCTTAGATGTACCATCCATGCAAGTTTGGTCATTATAGGGCTCATAGTATCTTCGAAATGAAACCTGCACCAAAGACTTTAACCTGTTCACTCAACCGGAAAATGTAGGTCAGATTCAGCATCCGAAGCAAGTCTGGTAGTATGCATCCTAAGATGTACCATCCATGTAAGTTTTGTCAACATAGGGCTTTTAGTTACTCGGAAATGAGACCTACACCAAAAACTGCACCAAAAATGTTAACCTGCACCAAAAACATTAACCTGGTCATTCCTTTGCTGAAATTGCAGCATCTGAAACTTTGACTGGTACAATGAAACACATTAGAAACATCTTCCATGCATGTCTAATCAATATAGGACATAGAAGTACTTAAAAAGACAAGAGGCCCATGGGCCACATCGCTCACCTGAGCACTAAGGGTAGGAAAAAGTAGAAAATGGCTTTTTATTGTAAAGTTTAAATCCAAAAGTAGTCCCATGACCAATCATGGATTTGCTATTTTTAGAAAATGATTTTTAAAGAATTTTAATATGCATATCTTTAAAAAATTTGGTCGGCCATTTTGGTCCCGCCCTACCCCTGGGGGTCATGATTTGAACAAATTTGAATCTACACTACTTGAGAATGCTTCCATATAAATATGATGAATTATGGCTTTGTCCATCTTCCCAAGTCAAGAGTTTCTGATCCGCTCCACTCCACATAAACCCTTGACTGAATAGACCAAGTTTGATGGGGTTTACTGTCACGCCATCTAGTGAGATGACATATATTAAACTCTACTGACCTCTGCTATTGACCAATCAGAGTAAACGAATTCAACTGAGAATTCGAGATAATATTGGAAGTTGGTAATAAATTCAATACATTTGTATAATTCAACTAAAAAGCTAAAACAAACCTTTAACTGGGTTATTTAATGATAAAGACGTTATCTTTGGGACTAAAACTGACTTGTTTTTCTGTTGACAATTTAGTTTTAGTTTAAATAAAACAACGATTTTGATTGGTTCATGCAGACTTGCATGAGGCCAATCAGAGAACGCATTTCTAACCCCGTCATACTTAGCCTATTCTGTCAAGGGTTTATGTGTAGCGGAGCGGATCAAAAACTCTTGACTTGGGAAGATGGGCTTTGTCATTCTTGAGATTTTTAAAGAATTTTCCTATATATTTCTATGTAAAACTGGTCGGCCATTTTGGCCCCGCCCTACCCCTGGGGGTCATGATTTGAACAAACTTATATCTACACTACCTGAACTTGCTTCCATATAAATATGATGAATTATGGCTTTGTCATTCTTGAGAAGAAGATTTTTAAAGAATTTTACTATATATTTCTATGTAAAACTTTGGTCGGCCATTTTGGCCCCGCCCTACCCCCGGGGGTCATGATTTGAACAAACTTGAATCTACACTACCTGAACTTGCTTCCATATAAATATGATGAATTATGGCTTTGTCATTCTTGAGAAGAAGATTTTTAAAGAATTTTCCTATATATTTCTATGTAAAACTTTGGTCGGCCATTTTGGCCCCGCCCTACCCCCGGGGGTCATGATTTGAACAAACTTGAATCTACACTACCTGAGCATTCTTCCATATAAATATGACGAATTATGGCTTTGTCATTCTTGAGAAGAAGATTTTTAAAGAATTTTACTATATATTTCTATGTAAAACTTTTGTCGGCCATTTTGGCCCCGCCCTACCCCCGGGGGTCATGATTTGAACTTGAATCTACACTACCTGAGCATGCTCCCATATAGATATGATGAATTATGGCTTTGTCATTCTTGACAAGAAGATTTTTAAAGAATTTTACTATATATTTCTATGTAAAACTTTGGTCGGCCATTTTGGCCCCGCCCTACCCCCGGGGGTCATGATTTGAACAAACTTGAATCTACACTACCTGAACTTGCTTCCATATAAATATGATGAATTATGGCTTTGTCATTCTTGAGAAGAAGATTTTTAAAGAATTTTCCTATATATTTCTATGTAAAACTTTGGTCGGCCATTTTGGCCCCGCCCTACCCACGGGGGTCATGATTTGAACAAACTTGAATCTACACTACCTGAGCATGCTTCCATATAAATATGATGAATTATGGCTTTGTCATTCTTGAGAAGAAGATTTTTAAAGAATTTTCCTATATATTTCTATGTAAAACTTTGGTCGGCCATTTTGGCCCCGCCCTATCCCCGGAGGTCATGATTTGAAGAAAATTGAATCTACACTACCTGAGCATGCTCCCATATAAATATGATGAATTATGGCTTTGTCATTCTTGAAAAGAAGATTTTTAAAGAATTTTACTATATATTTCTATGTAAAACTTTGGTCGGCCATTTTGGCCCCGCCCTACCCCCGGGGGTCATGATTTGAACAAACTTGAATCTACACTACCTGAGCATGCTCCCATATAAATATGATGAATTATGGCTTTGTCATTCTTGAGAAGAAGATTTTTAAAGAATTTTCCTATATATTTCTATGTAAAACTTTTTTCGGCCATTTTGGCCCCGCCCTACCCCCAGGGGTCATGATTTGAACAAATTTGAATTTACACTACCTGAGGATGTTTCCCCATAAGTTTCATCTTTCCTGGCACAGTGGTTCTTGAGAAGAAGATTTTTAAAATATGCCACCAAATTTTCATTAATTCCCAATTATCTCCCCTTGAATGAGGGCGTGGCCCTTCATTTGAACAAACTTAAATTCCCTTCACGCAAGGATACTTTGTGGCAAGTTTGGTTGAAATTAGCCCAGTGGTTCTTGAGAAGAAGTCGAAAATGTGAAAAGTTTACAGACAGACAGACAGACAGACAGCTAGACAGACGGACAGCTAGACGGACAGACGGACGCCGGACAAAATGTGAAAAAAGCTATTGAGCCTTCGGCTCAGGTGAGCTCTCTGCTCCAAAAAACTTAACCTTAATCCGGGACGCCAACGCCGACGCCGAGGGTATCACATAAGCTCCCCCAACTTCGTTGAGGTGAGCTAAAAATCCTGTATTTATTACTAAGTATGTAATAAATAAAACTAATCTAATTCATTTTTCTTTCTTTCAAAAACTAGAGGTACTGTGAGCGATGAGCTCACTAAATGATACCCCCGCCTTCCCTATGGTTATAACTGGTGAAAAAGTCCATGTTTTCCTTGGCCGGGAAACCCAAAATCTGTGTCGTCAAAAAGTAAAATAGGAGGTGCACAATGGCAATATGTAATAAAGATTCCAAAGTTTCATTAAATTTCATTCAGTGGTATGAGAGAGGAGTTACGGATAATGGGTACCCCAAAGCGTAACAGAAAAACGGACAAAACATTACTTAGCACAATACGGACGGACGACTTAATCTTACTTTACCCTCTTTTTTCAAAAAAAAAAATACATTTTTTTAAAGAATTATAATGAGTCAACACTAAAAGCATTTTTGATTTGTTGTGATAATTAACTTTAAACACAAGAAAAGCTTTCATTTTTATATAGGGACTAAACTGAACCCTACTAAATATACAGCATATAAAATTAAGCAGCTGACCAAGGTGTTTTTCTTAAGATATGTTTTGTGTACCAATGAACACATTTGAACAGAACAATGCAATTCATTTCACACTTCATAAATATCTCTATTACTCTATATTTCAAACAGGGTATCCTTCGCAAGTACCTTTATTTATACCCTGTTGATTAGCCTATGGCTGTGGTAAAGCCTATTATACCTTCGGATATTAACCGATAGTAAAGCTCTTAATAAAGAAATTCTGTCCGTAACACTTTTTCACTAAATAGAAATTAATACATGTATAACAGACTTACCTATTTTCTTTTCGTCTATATTTGGTGGTTCGTACTCTACTTGCTTTCGTGTGTTTGTCTTATACACTTTATCCCACAAAACTTTTATTTCGTAATCATATTCTTTCCACTCTGGTAAAATACGCAATGCTGCTTTTAATTTCGGTTCTTTTGTCTGAGGATTATTGCACTGAAAAATTAAATAGCACCAAATTTAAGTTATTTGACAATACAGTAAAACTTGGTTAGTACGAACACGGATATTGCAAATTCACAGATATAGCGAAGTTATCTAGAATCCCTAGCTAAGTAAATTTAACAAATTTCTTTTACGGATATAACAAATTAAAGATATAACGAAGTAATTTCATAGGTCCCAGTGACTTTGTTTTAACCGAGTTTTACTGTACTTTTCAATCAAAGGGGGAAGGCTGATAAATCCTTATTTACAATTTTTATAAATAAACATTAAATTTTACTTTTATTCAAATGAAAATCATACTGTTTGCTTGAACAATACAACCACACACACACACTTTTGAAAACAATGCCCATTGGTGTGCCAGAGTCCTTTCCTGGCAAATATGCCCTTGACCTTCAATCTCTCAGATATGACCTTCACTTGATATAAACCTTGGAAATTTGATCCATATACCTAGATGTCTAAGAATGTACTAAAACTTTGCTTTAAGTGTATTTTTTTACGCAAAATGAAGCTCAATGTCTCACCAGGTCAATAGTTTTGGCCGTCTTCTTTGACTCATCACTGCACCATGTCTCACACCACAACCAGTCTTGAGGCAGTGATTTTATCGCCACCTGGTGGATCATGTTGTTTGGCAGATCCTGGTCTAAGTTGGAAAGACTGTTTGGATCTTGAGAAAGTCCCTGATATTGACCTCTGAGACGATCCCCAGCGGCTATACGACGAAATTTTTTAAGATCCACTACATATAAGGCACTAGTGAAAAAATTGTTTAAAGAAATATTTTACATGTATATACAACATAAAAAAATGAGTGTAACGCATGTAAATTACATAAACAAATATATTTTATATGAACCATTTTTTTATTTATACAAAATTTTATTCACAAATAAAAGTGAATGGGTTTGGGCAGCAGGCAAAGCCTTATATTCTAGCCCTCTCTCTGATATGAATCATTACTGATACAGTATGTGCATCAAAATAGCTTACAGAAGTTTAATTTCTTTTTTACTACTGGATCTAAATACACTTTGAAAAGATTAAATAGGTCTATCTTGAATAAATACAAGATTCAAAGCATTGCACTGCTATTTTTATGTGTCTTGTCCAGTTATTCATCACATTTCAGATTTAGCTTACCTAATGTGATATTCTCTTCCAGCTAAATGACTAGCCCAGTATCCAGATCTCCAAAATCTATAAATAGTAAAACAACTTGCATTCATTTATACTCTGACAGACAATGTATACTTTATATACTGTAAATCTAATCAACTTCCAGTGGATTTTAAGTAAAAACACATAATTTGCAAAATTTTATGAAAATCACAAATGAAAATCATCATTTTTTTGTTAAAGTACGAAATACAATTTGATATGAAACATAGAGCACAAATGCCCTAGATTTACCTGAATCCATCCATTTCCCTCCTGCTGGAACAGAAAGGTGTGTAGCCATAGGGGGCACCCTCAAGGTCTAGGTCGTTTAATTCTTGTAAATCTGTCCTTACAACCTGAAGGGGAAAATCACGCAATGAAAAATAGGTCATTTTCCTTTAATGAAATAATAAACATGTGTGAAAGTCATAATAGCACTTGCCTGATCTGCATCAACAAATATAATTTTCTTCACATCCAAGGGGAATAACACATCTAAGAACAAGATTTTGTATCTGCAAATTAGAGAATTTTGTGCTTAAGTTTAACAAAATCTGGAAAGTATGAAATCACTAGATTTGTTTCAAGTTTTTTTTTTTGTTTTTTAATTATTCTTGAATTTATTGCTTTAAATCTGATGAAATCTATCACTTCCTATAAATAAACATGGGAATTATATTTAAAATTTACAAAAAATGGTTAAAACACCAAGATATCTTATTCATCTTATTATTCATGTCCTACCCCCACATAACTCTTTGCTTTTCCTTTTGCTGATTTAACCATCTTGGCCATTTATACTGAACCAATTCATATTCAAAGCCATACTCTTTTGCCATTTTTGGTATAAAATCCTAAAAGAAAAAATTCAAGCACATGTACATTATACAAGTTGTCACACAAGCAAATTTGTAAGTACAGTTTGTAAGCTTTTTAAAAACTAATCACCACTTTTGATGGTATTATACTACCTTAAAAGAAGGTGACAGGTAATTTTTCAAAAACCAAAACTTCACTTGGGATTTTGTGTGTTTTAAGACACTCAACATCATAATTCTGAAAATATCAGAAGAAAACAAATAATTCAAAATTTCAAGTTATAAAATACTCAAAGATTTATTCAGAACATCTCTGACTTTTATGAACTTATCTATGTAAAACCCTTTTATAGAGAATACGCATGGCTAATAACTGCATTTGATAACATTATTGTTGTACCTCATAAGTCTCTCATACATGTGACCTGAGGCCAGGGAGAAAATATTTAAAACTTTTCCTTCTGTTTCTTCTTTTGGTTTGAATGAACTGAAAATGGAAGATAGTTTATTGTATTCAACTATAGGAATGCAAAGTATCATACAGTTTGATGAAATAAAAGGATACCAAGTCTTTAGACAATACCTGAATATGAATCATCATACATTACCTGGCTAAACAGTAAATTGATATTGGTGTGTTCTTTTAAATGACCATATCTTCTTTATTTTAGCCCTCAATACAATTCAATTTCAAATTGAAATTTTCCAAGAATTTTTTTTCCAACTACCTAACAACCCATTTTTTATATCATCCTGAGCTGGAAGACATCAAACAGACATTTTTTTTTTGTAAGTTGGCCTCACACAGTGCATTTTATGGAGAGAACAATTATAGGCATTTATGCCAGCCTGCTGTTCAATTCCAATTCACTGAATAAAATATATTTTAAACACAGTGCATTGATAATGTAGACATACAAGAAGATTTCTTATACCTAGATATGGAGTCCCAGATACTTTTGTCATCATCTTCATCCTTCAACAACTGTTCCATTATCTTATCCTTCTTTTTCTCTACCTTAAACAAATTAAACAGAATTTAAACCATCAGTTTAAAAAAAATGACCACAATAAACACATTAAATGGACTAGAATAATAATCTTTTATTGTTTCAGATTTTAAAAAATGCAATATTATATATCATAACTATAATAGCATATAAATTTATGAAAAGTTTTCATAAGAATTTTTTTATTTAATCAATCTTGCTTATGAGATAATAAATGGAATTGTCATGCATCTTCATTACTGTGATTTGACTTACCTTGACCCGAATAATTTTACTCTTGAAGCTATTTATAGCAACAACCACATCATCAGATCCCACAGGTGTATCTGTCATTTCATGTCTGTTAAATAAAAATCAATTATGTTATCTGCCTTATTTTAGTTTATATACCCAAAAACATTCCTTACGTTCGTATACCTAAAAACATTCTTTAAAACAATCAAACCTTGTTATTTCAAACTCAATGGGGCTGAGAAAAAAATTCAAGGATTTGAGATATCTGGGTAAAATACTTGAAGAATATTGGGTTGGGTATTCCTGGACCAATTGAAAATACTTCAACATATCCAGAGTATTCAAAATGTTGGTGTTCAAAATACATGTATTTTCTTCCATTTCATGAATGGTTCTCATGAATTTGATATCTGTCGTTTCTAGAATTGGTAATGTATTCAGAACTCTGATCAGGAACAAATGTAAATATTTACCCTACTATGTTGTAGATGTCTTTGGACCTCCCCTCTCTAAGCTGCAGAAACCAAACCCCTGGATTGGCCTTGAGTTGAAAGTAACCCTAGCACGAGAAAAAATCAATTCTAAATTTACCATTATTTGTATTCTTTCAAATAAGAATACCATCTTGAACAAATATCGGGATAAAAATCTGCTTCAAAGAAAGAAATGCATTTAATATGCAAATGTTAGATGAATGAAGTTTAAAATATACTTTACTAATGCTTCAAAATACAAATACAAAATTTTCGCAGGGATAAAAGTCTTTTTAAATTTAAATAATTTTTTGTATTTATTTTATTGTTTTTTGAGAAAAAAAAAAAGTATTGTTTGAAAAAATTAAGTTAGAAAAGATGATGTTCAAGAAATAGAAAATTAGGTTCTGTCAAGTGAAATTTTTATCCAAACAATTATAATTTTTCACATCATAAAGGAAATAAAACTTCTAAAAGGGACAGTTCTACAATAATAGGGGAGGTTAAGAAGGGGGTATGGTTGATTACCAGGTTAGCCATAACTATGGTGTCCACTAGAGGATTGGAGGCATTGGTGCCCAGAGTAAACTGTAATCCCCGAGGTGGCTGTCCAGAGGTGGTGTCCGAACAGTGACCTGTAACGAAGACAGAGATATCAAAAGAAAAATAGAATCACTGAACAGTTTTATTTTCCATGACCTTGAATGTAACTCCCTAAAAAGGTTAACATTTCTTTGTTTTCTTTTTCAAAATGCAAAGTTAACATAAACAATATATCGATAAAAAAAAGTCAAATTTTCAATTAAAGAATAAATACAATAACTGTACCTTCTATCAAGATATATTCGAGAGCAAATTCTGCAGTAACCCCACTCTCAACCTGCAAAAAAAATGTAATGTCATAATTATACAATGACTACTCCCTAAAATACCTCCATTCATTTTACACAATGACTACTCCCCCAAAATGTCTCATATTGACTATTATCATGAGACCCTTACCTCCTCTAGTAGCAAGTTGTCCAGATCGTGGGCGGCTCTCACAGACTCCACCAGCCAGCTCTCCGGGGGATTGACCCCCATGGTCAGAATTGACTTCTGGGGGAGATCTGTGAATTTGGCCACTGGACCGGAGGTCAAACTTCCGTCAGGCTTAAAGACCAAGTCCGGTTCCAGTACATAACGATAGTAACTGTGAAATACATAATAAAATGACTATGAAATGTGTAAAATAATATTTAAAAGAAAATATTTTAAGAGAGAAAAGTCGAGAAACAATATTAAATTTGAACCTTGATTCAACAGGAAAATTTACATATCCTGTAGATGTACAAGTACAGAATAATCTTAAAGTCTCCAAAGAAAGGAAAAGAATGGTAGAATTTTCCATTGCACAAAATTTGATTGGACTATTTTAGTAAAACAGGATTAAAGCATACTCACGTTTTTACAGGCATCTCGGAAATCTTATCTCTACAGTTCATGTAAATTTTCACATCAACATTGGCCACTTCTCTCAGCACCTACACATTTAATCAAATAAGCAATTTAATTTTAGTATGTATAAATTTAATTTAAATTTAATATAATTCAGTGATAAAAACATACAGTCAGTGAAATTCAATTTTTTTTTGTTATTCAAACTGACCTTGATCATAGGTGTAATCTTTTGAGCTTCCTGTGAGACGGGGTCAAGGACAGCCTCGATTTGATAAGCTGGTGAGTCTGGATTGGCAGGTAGCTTTACTGCACTGTAAGAAGAAAAGAACAAGTCTAGCATCACATAGGATGTATTACTACTTCTTTTAAAGTGTGCAATAAAATTGCTATGATCTACTCTCCATTTTTGAGGTAATAGAAGATTTTTAGGACTCATTACAATTCACGGTTCTCTCACCTATGCTGATCCCTCAGGCCAGATAAGTCCTTTCTCTCTGTGTTGGAGGTTTTAGATGACAGCAGTGAGGAAATTTTCATGATAAGTTCACTTCCTCTGTAAAATAAAATTAAACACTATTTAAAAAAAGACTGGCCCTCATGTTACAATGTAAACATAAAGGATTTTAAATTTTACATAGAAGTATTTGAAATACATTTTTTAAAAGTGTTTCTTTGATATTTAATTAAGAAATTATTTTGTGCTGGTAATCATATTAATTGTAAACAATACATAGCAATTATGATACAAAAGTCAATATCCATTCTTTATATTCATGAGAATCTCAACCATCTTAAACTCAAAGCCATCCATCCAACACCACCAGGCCTAAAATAAAATTAAGTTTGTTTGCAGTTGCCTACCGACCCACTGAAAATGCACCCGACCCAAACTTTTTCTTAGACATTTGGTAATTTATTATTTTTTTTCAATTTTTCAGAATATTGAAACAGTTTCATTATCAAAATTTGAAACTTTTTTTTTATCAATCAGTGGTTTATAACAAGAGATGAGCTTATTCATGGCTAGTAAGTGTATGAAAACCTCTTTTATTTGTTATCTAACAAAAATCTGATTTTTTTTCCAAAAAAAAAAAAAAAGAATGCCTACCAACCGACCCAGTCTAAAAATTACAGGTCCGCATCTGCAAACAAAGAACTTTTTAAGCTTGGCCCCATCCACACTATCTTTTTTTCTTTAATTTTTTCACCAACAACCCTGACCTGTTGCCATCAATTTTCATCAGCATCATCTGAGTCTTGATGCTCCTGGCCACATTCTGATTTTCCACTTTAGTCAGCAAGTCCACATCCTCTGAGGTGAAACTCTCAGCTTCATCTAAAGGTCCACACACCTGAAAAAAATAAAATATATATGGCTAACTGTACCATTTTTTTCAAAGCAGCTAACGGTATTTTAAAGAATTTGTCATAATATACATGTACTTATATTCTATCCAACTTGGGTTAAAATACTGATTGATTCCACCTCAATCACATATTTGAGCCTTAATATATTATACTGTAACAATATTTTGCGAAGTTATGAAAATTTTTAACTTTTAATTTTACCGGTATTAATGAAAATTTTTTTCTGAACTCACTGGTATAAACTACATAATAGATATGTTTTTAAAATTACAAACCAATATCTCTACTTTTAGAATTATATAGAATATGGAATGTGTCTATTTAGAATTCAGGGGCCCGTTTTACAAAAGAACTTACGACTTAAGACCAAGTTTAATTCTTCATATAACTTTTTAATTAACATTATATCAAAAATCATTTTAAACGTTTTAAAAGAAATGTGGTAGGATATCTTTACGCCAACAATTTCAAAGAGAATTATCAATTTTGCAAAATGTTACAACAATATTCAGTTTTTGGTCTTAGTCGTAAGTTCTTTTGTAAAACAGGCCCCTGTTACCTACAAAAACAAATATTCACAAATGAAAATAAATTACTTTACCTTTCCATTTGCGATAAGTCCTCTATCACTTTCCCCCCAGCCAAGAACTGTTCTGACAAAGATGCCATGATGGTTCAGGAAGTCTGTGGTTTGTTTTTCTAGAGCCTTCATATAGGCATCCATATCCATTCCCTAAATAAGTTAAAAATATGTATTAAAAAAATGTATACATCTTTCATAATTCATGCCAAAATAATGAATCAACTTCATGGGTGAAACAAGGAGTACATATATGTATTTTGTGCTCTAAAAAGCAAATTTTTGAAAATTTTTGAAGGTTATGAGAGGAAGGAACAAAAATCAGGAATCCACTACATTAAATTTCTTCATGACAGCTACTCTTAACCCATGTGCCCTGCAGAGTAAAGGAGTTTTGGGGATAAACAGAAAGTTAATGTTTTGTCACACCAACTATATTTACCAGATCTTTCACCCTTTGACTATTTTGGGTCAATAGGAAATAGGGAAAAAAACCACAAAGTGGTTGACATATCATAATTACATGGACTTCCAGATCCTGTATTTTCTTGACTCCAGACTTGAGGTCAGCGACATTTTCCTCCTTGATAAGTTTGGTGATGAGACTTTTGGCGTGGTTGTTCCCCAGGGTCTGGAGAGCGGTGTACACGGCCTTACTGATGGACAGGTCACTACTCAGGACAGAGTCATGGTTAAAGACCAGGCCCAGTCTCATGTCATAGGAATGTTTCTGTAACAAAAGAAAAATACTGCTGATTTAGAGTAATTATTTGCTTGTTCTGAAGTAAACACTTTGAAAAAACTCTCAGTGAGTTATTTTTTAACATTTTTGAAATAATGTACATGTAATAATACACATTTATTGACTGAGTACAAGGGCAACATGAATTTGTCAGACCCAAGAACCTAACTGTCTGCCTGAGGCCATTAGGCTGAAGGCAGACAGTTTGGTTTGAGGGTGGACAAAACACATATTGCCTGAGTACTAGGTCTGCCGTCAATAAATGTTTTGTTATATCTATCATTTTAATATTTCATTTTTTGATATAGATCTTCCGTGATATAGCCTCAAGTCTGTCACTGTTGAACACAACGGAATGAAAATGAGATTAAGCTCTGCCCATTCTGTGATGTAAGCGGTCCAACATCTCATTGACCAGTCCAACATCTCACTCAGAGGTCAAAAATCAATTTTTTATGCCTACTCAGGGGGGGTGCCTGATTTGAAAACTTAGAATCCACTTGCACCACACTTTTTAGGAAGTTTTACCTTTTCTTGTCCAGTGGTTCTTCAGTGGTTCTTTGATTCAGAATATTAAAAAAAATATATTCCTTTTATTTTCAATGAATTACAATAAAGTGCATTGAAGTGGTAAAATTCCATTTGAATGAAATGTTTTGAGCCTTCTTTAGAATGTTTATCATCATATAAGGACATACCTATTTCTTTAGAAAGGAAAACAACAGTCAAATATTTACATTTCCAATGTCTTTGTTCGAGATAAAATTACAAATAGTTAATGTACTTTATTTCTCCATCAATGTACTGGTTCATCGACTGTCATGGTTAAAAAAAATCATGTGCAGGGCGGGCCTAATAGAGTTAAGAAGCGGGGTTTCTAGCACATGGATTGGCGGAATCAATACCATGTATTAATACAAGGAATAACCGTCAGAATTTTTTATTTGAACATCACGATGATCAATCAATTGGCTTGCATGATAATTTTATGTATAAATGCCTTCGACATTTATTTATTTAAATTATCACGCAAGCCAATCGATTGATCACATCATGAAATTGAAAAATAAGAGTTATTCCCTAAAAAGTTTATTTGAGTATCTGTAGCACAGGTATTCCAAAAACATGATTGCCAATCAAATCGACAGTCTACATTTATTTATTAACACAGAATGTTTATGTGACAGTGTTTGACCAATACATGTGTTTGGGTCATCATTTTGTAAGTTTTATTGTTTATACAATGACCTTGTCAGCAAAATGAATACAATTCATCATTTATTCAAATGCTGACTGACTAGCTTTTTTCATACTGATTGTCAGGCCATTATTTACACAGTGAGTTGTCCACATATTTTTTCCATTATTTCCCAATCATGACAAGAAGCACACAGCAGGTGTGACCAGTTGACAGGGGATGCTCACTCTTCCATGGCACCTGATTCCACCCCTGATGTTTTTGAAGGTTCATTGTTTGCTCCAGTCTTATTTTGTAATGTTAAATGGACTTTTGAGCTGGAATACTGTTTGTTATCTACACATAGTAAACATGATAATTCATAATCATGTGCATACTCTTTGCATATATGTTTTGCAAGAGGCTGATCCACTAACTCTCTCTTCTAACATCTCCATTTTGCTAATAATGTTTCTAGTTGCAGAGTGGGGTATCATAAAGCATTACAATGAATATTTCTTTCTTGTAACTAAAGAAATGGGTATGTCATTATGTAGCTATTAAAGTTAAATAAGAAACACCCAAACTTTCCACTCAAATGAGAAAAAAAATTCCACTTCAACTCATTTTATCATCCCATTCAAATATGTTTGCCACTAATAGTATTTATTAATTTCAACAGACTAAGTGATATACATGTACACGTATTTTTGAATATTTTAACAATAAGATGAGGACAGTAGACTATACATGTATAATGCTTTGCAGAGTAGATAACAATAGGGTGGACTGGTTAGAGAATTATACCGTTTGATCCTTCCACGAATTTTCTTTTTTTTTTCGTTTGAAAAAAAGTTGGATGCAAAAATTGGCAAGCATTCAAGTTACCTATGCCACTGTGATATATTATATTGATTAAACAAAAATGCACAACAAGAATGACTTCTGCAAACATGTCGTAAATTTCTAACTCAATAAACAAGAGGCCCAGGGGCCACATCGCTCACCTGAGCAATTGGCTAGGGAAAAAGCACATATCAGATCAGAACTGAAAGCTTACTGAGGTTGGGGGGGGGGGCTTGAATTTTAAACCCAAGGGGGTCATGATTTGAACAAACTTGAATCTACACTACCTGAGGTTGATTCCCGATAAATATCACTAAGCATGGCTTTGAAGTACTTGAAAAGAAGATTTTTAAAGGTTTCCCTATATATTCCTATGTAAAACTTTGATCGGCCATTATTGCCCCACCCTATCCCCGGGTGTCATGATTTGAACAAATTTGAATCTACACTACCTGAGGATGATTTCACATGAGTTTCATCTTTCCTGGCCCAGTGGTTCTTGAGAAGAAGATTTTTAAAGATTTTTCCTATATATTTCTATGTAAAACTTTGATCGGCCATTTTGGCCCCATCCTACCCCTGGGGGTCATGATTTGAACAAACTTGAATCTACACTACCTGAGAATGCTTCCACATGAGTTTCATCTTTCCTGGCCCAGTGGGTCTTGAGAAGAAGATTTTTAAAGATTTTTCCTATATATTTCTATGTAAAACTTTGATCGGCCATTTTGGCCCCACCCTATCCCCGAGGGTCATGAATTGAACAAACGTGAATCTACACTACCTGAGGATGAATCCACATGAGTTTCATCTTTCCTGGCCCAGTGGTTCTTGAAAAGAAGATTTTTAAAGATTTTTCCTATATATTCCTATGTAAAACTTTGATCGGCCATTTTGGCCCCACCCTACCCCCGGGGGTCATGATTTGAACAATCTTGAATTTACACTACCTGAGGGTGATTCCAGATGAGTTTCATCTTTTCTGGCCCAATGGTTCTTGAGAAGAAGATTTTTTAAAAATGCCATTAATTTTTCTCTAATTCATAATTATCTCCCCTTGGAAAAGGGCGTGGCCCTTCATTTGTATAAACTTGAATCCCCTTTACCCAAGGATACTTTGTAGCAAGTTTGGTTGAAATTGGCCCAGTGTTTCTTGAGAAGAGGATGAAAATGTGAAAAGTTTACAACAACAACGACAACAGACAACTGACAAATTTTGATCAGAAAAGCTCACTTGAGCCTTTGGCTCAGGTGAGCTAAAAATGAAATAAAGATCAGGCCTGCCATATTGTGACCAGTGAATAAGAGTAACAACCAAAACACCTAACATCCAATCAAAATTTACTTCCTTTTTTGGAATATATATAAGGAGAAGGACAGCTAAAGTAACTTTATTCTGTCACCGAACCTTCAGAGGGTATTATCTGCATAATCATAAGGTAATTATATGATTTATTAAGTTTTTACTATTTTAACCTCATTTGATTATATACTAATCTTGTAATAAGGAAACATTTGTTAGTTTGAAATCAAGTGAAGTCTGAAATGACAAAAGCACAAAATAAATGAATTTTTTTATTGTCCTACTAACTCTCATATCAACAGTTAAAAAAATTCGTTTTCTTGCTTGTATATTATACAAACAAATTTTATTTCTTAAAAATAGGTTGTCCTAGCAAAATAAAGTGGCACTGCATAGGAGTATGCAGTAGCCTTTAATAAGGCTAGCTAACCAGGAATTCTTATCTTTAGCATTTCTACACTGTGAGGAGAGTCTGCCAATTAACATTTGGAATAGTTCCAAAACAGGGTACTGTACCTTTAAAAAACAGAAAGTTGGAGCTTTTTTCATGGAAATGAAATAAAAAGTTGTCGCAATATAATGGATACAACAGAGATTTTCAGAGATAAGAAAAGAGAAATTGAAAATGAAATCCTGGAAATTGAGTCCATCACTATTCCAAGGTATAGGAAGAAATTCAACGAAACAAAAAGAAAACTATCTGGAACATATGCCAAATATGATGCGCTGGAAATAGACGCAGAAGAACAGAGAAACTTCTGGCATCAAGAGGTAGACGTAATCTTCAATAAACTAAATTTTCTGGTCAAATACCTGAAACAAAATCACCTGGCTGAACTAAACTCATTCAAGCTCAAACTGAAAAATCTTATTCAGGAAATGGAAAACACAACAGAACAAAATAAAGAGATCTTGAGAAGAAACAATTCATCTGAAGTCACTGACCATGTTTCCAAAATACAGGATTACAGAGGCATGCCAACTGATAAAACAGATGATTTCAAAATTCCTTCCCTCAAATTAAACAAAATAGTGGAGAAAGAATTAAGAATAGAATTATTAGATTACAACGCAACCCTGACACAAACATCAGTACATGCTTTGATAGATGGGGCATCCAGCTACACACATACAGAAGAGCTACTAAGGGAAGCCAGGGTGATTGCCACCATTCCTACTGGGCTTGAAACTCTATGGCATCTGGCATGTATTGGGGCAGATGAGGCATGGGTTTCTGGTTGGTACGTATCCATAAGCCGTATAAGCAAAATACACCCAGATACCGATGACGATGTCTTTACAGTGTGTCGTCTCTTTCCTACTGGCCTCTCCTCGACTAAAGAGGGTGAACTGATGTACAGTGATTGGCACAGCAGGAGTATTTATGTAGTCAGAAATGAGAAAACCGAGAAACTGATTACTGTACCAACAGGATGGTTTCCAGATAGACTCTGCTGCACAAGGTCAGGAGACATCCTAGTCTCACTGAGCAAAAAGGACTACAAAAAACCCCAAAAAGTAATATGTTACCAAGGGCAGACAGTAAAATTGGAAGTAGAAAAAGATGAGCATGGAGACCTAATCTTTGCTGCAGGATCGAATTCACTCTATGCGGCAGGGAACAATAATGGAGACATTTGCGTTTCTGATGCTAATGCTCAA